CGGACAGGGATTCAACGCCACGCACCGCGGGTCACACGGGCCAACGAGCCTGCCGCCCGGTAGGCAGGTGTCTCCTTCCCCGCACCGTCGGGGCCGTGGGGCCTCGGGACATGCCTCACGCCGCCGGTGGCAGGCTGGGGACCCGCCAGGAAATCGGATTCGGGCGGGTCAAATTTTGGCCATGCTGACGGAGAAACCTTCCCCTATAAATAGGCGAGCCAGGAAGTGGGGGTTACGGTCCAAAATGCTCTCATTGAAATACGCACGTCATTACGAATTTCTCCCATTTAAAATCTTTCAAATCTCCACATCCTGTAAGAAGAAAAAAATAATGGTAGCATGTCTCCCTGGGGATAAAGGTATCTATCCAATCACTCAACATCTAACCGATCCAGACTTGCCTCGTACCGGTGGTCAGTCTATTAACTTGGCATTGCCCCACCAATGACTATGCCATAGAACCACAGGTTGACCGGGAACCCCGGTCAAGCTTCAGTGAATGGCTCCTCTGGGAGTATTTTATACAAACTGGTCACAAAAATTATAGTAAGGGGGAAAAGTGGCCTACATTTACATGTACACAGTAAAAGAGTTTACCAGTACGTGTACACAGCCCTAGTGTAAATGCATGTACATTGTACATGTAAAATGCAAACACACTTTGTACAAGTACTGCGTGTGTTCTGGGATCCCATCTCGAGTAGGGATGCTACTTACATTGACCCCAGTACTTTTTGCTGGGTTCTGAAAAATATAGGTCTATTAATTTTGTACAAGTTGATAGGTTCTTACAAGGTTTGAACGTGCTCCTTTTCCTTTGTATTTACACTTTCAATAATCTATTTTATTCAAGGTGTTTGTGGGAATGGGGTGGGATTGTATTCATTTGCCCTTGTATATTTTAAACGGTCTCAACAATTCTTTCATGTTTGTATAGATTTTTGATGCTGCATTCTTCGAATAACACACCAATGTTGATTCGACTCCATGAACCACAAAATAAACGAGGATTTTGCCCAAATTCAACTGAATTGTTCTATCTTGAAAGAATAAAAGTGGGTAGTATAGCTTCAATAATATTTAAAAAATTAGAGATGTGATATAAACACACTTAATTGAAGACGCAAAACCATACAGCAAATTTAAGTCCTATTTGACAGTTTTACCAAATCGGAAATAAATTACAACTAGGGAAGTAGATAATGAACTTCATTTAGTTACAGTGGCGTAACTAGGGTGCCACAGCTGAGGGGGCACCTGGGGGTGCACAATTTTTTTTCTGGGCGCGCTGAAAATAATTGAACGAGGTAGATATATATTTTTTGTCCATTTCAAAATTTCAAATGTGGGGGTTGCACTGGGGGGGCACGGGCCTCCAGGGGGGGGCACGTGCACCACTGTGCCCCCCGTAGTTACGCCATTGTTTAGTTATGTAGAACTGACAAAAGACTCTGACACTTTTACTACAACAGTAATACCAGTTTAAGAAAACAAAGTGTGTTGTCTTTGTAAGATGTATATAAATTGGTGAANCTATTAAAAATGTCGTCTGTTTCTAGAGCACATAATGAATCAAGAAACACGAGAACATAATAATAATAACCAGTTTTACATAGCACCTTTAATTAACAGAAACTGACAAAAAAGAACGTGGCTATAAAAAATTGAAGCACAATACACAAACAACACACCTGAATTATTTTAGAACAAATAAGTTGTATAACCATAACCAATCTGAGGTACGTTTGGATGACAATCACTGTCACACACAATACAAGCCGAATCACTGACTTAAAAGTCTAGAATTTGCATACTAAACTCTGTGACTCATGAGAACATCTTTCCTGAACTTGCATCACCCCACTCAATGGAGTCATAAATTTTGTATTACAAATACCCTGCAATATTTCATGTAGAAAATAAATTGGATAAATCTTAATATGAATATTAGCATTAGGAGTTTAACGCAGAAAAAGTAATACTACAAGTATTTATTGATTGATGAGTTATTCTAACCTCTGCACTTTCCAAATGATAAGGGTATTTTAATCAAAATAAGGTTTGTCAGAGAATATCCATAAATATAGTAGTTTGCGCTAGAAAAAGTTTAAGTCTTCAATGTGCAAGTACAAACCATACAATCAATTTGAGGCAAAATAAATTGCAGCTTCCAATAATTTATCACCGCGGGATATTGGAGGCTCTTGTCACTAAGTGGATCAGTAGTGCTCACTTGCGGTTGCTGGCATGGTGACTTAATGCCTCGAACTAGTTTATATAAGCCCTGAACCATTTTTAAGAAGTAGAGAAAGTCGTCAATAAAGATTGTAGAGTCCAAAGGGTTTAGAATGCTACACTGTTAGTAATAATGCTCGAAGTCAGCCGAAAGAAGTCAACAACACCGAGCAAGGAAGTTATTAATCGATCACTTTGTTGTCGACTTACTTCTTGAGAAGAGACCTCGTGATTGCCGCAGGTGGCACACTGAAGAGCAAGTGGAGAAAGGAGGTCGAAATTCTTGAGATAATGACGATTTGAAGTTAGGGTATCATCTCCAATTCCAAATGTCCATTTGTTACATGATTCACTTTCATTAAAATCCACTTAACAACAAAGCAACCAACTGATTCAAGGGTTCTTGGAATTTCCGATGGGGGAACACGCTGTCGGTCTATTTGATCCATTGGAGTCTAATTGTTTCTGGCTAATTGGAGGAAAATGCTTGACAACCAACCAACAGAGAAGGTAAATGACCGCGTTTAAATAAGGGGAATGTCCCTCATTGTCAGCGTACACCGTGATCGACAGCGAGGGCCCAGATTCGCCTTTGTGAATTTTTAATCAATTTCACAAGATGGAATTTGCATCCCATAAGAATGCGTGATGAAGAGGAACACCAGAGGAGCATCAATTATGCACAATGGCGTAACTAGGGTGCTACAGCTGAGGGGGCACCTGGGTGTGCATAATTTGTTTTCAGGGGCGCTGAAAATAATTGAACTAGGTGCTTGTCCAAACGCTTACCAACATAAATGGACGTAGATGTCCATTTCAAAATTTCAAAAAGGGCGTGAAATCTGTTCAAGTGACCCAATACACGTTTGGAAAGGGTCCACAGATTTCGCGCGTTGTGATTGGCCAACGCTCTGCAAACTCTTGGAGGCGCACTATTGTGAATCGTCCGTAACAACACAGAAGTTGAATCAACTAACGGTACAATCGTTGCTTTTGGCATCGCAGTCGTACAGTTATTCGTGACACGTAAATTTTTTGTGACAATAAGCCTACTCATAATTCCAGAAAATGACAACGCATACACATAAAACAGGCACTAAAACCTGCAGTGAGTTGAACTTTATTGATTGACGGTCTTTGAAACTGGAGAAATAAAGGCAGAAACATCCAAATGAGTACAGTTATTCAACTCAGCACATCCATGCAAATATCCCAAAGAATCCTTATGGGACATCCATACAAACTGCGCACCTTCAATCAATCACAAACCCCGGGTGGCCTTTTCCATTTTAGAATGAGGTATTCATCAGTATCATCCGTGACAGCTATGGGTTGGCCTATTCCCCCATAATATTCAATCGGATACATGATGACTGATTCAGAAATAACCCCTTTTGTGAGTTAAAGGTTAACAGAAACAGAAAACATTTAGTTCACGTGAAGTATTTTAAAAGTAACAATAAACACGTAACCATTTCAAAAACAGAATAAATTCATTTTTACCACATTAATTGTGACCCCACAATGAAAAAAAAATCTCCTTTGGCCGTTTGCGCTCCCAGGCTGATTTGATGACGTCATCGGCAGAAATCCTCAATGTACAGTGTACAGTACATGCAGTATCGCACGCTTGCAATAGACCACGTTGTGTTCGATGTAGTTTGGCCCACAGGCAAACACTGACTCAGTTCAAGGTGGAAATAAAAAAGACACAGTCCTAGCTAGCGCAGTGTACATTGTTTTTGTTTTGGTTTAATAATTGCCTCCTCATGAGCGCAAACCAGACTGGTGCTAATTAGTCATGCCAATGTACATCTTCACTACGGTCTCTGGGTGCCACAACACGATGCATTTCAAAGCAAAGACAATTTCAGAGATGTATGTTTTTGGCATGCAAAGAACACTGTACATGAACATTACAAGAAATGGAGGAAAGGTGTCAAAGCAATGTTTATTTAATACAGAGTTGTTGTCAAGCAGCAATCAGAATCTTGTCGTGTTATGAACGTGTCTCTGCTCTTCAGAGAGACACAAAAGCATGGATTTCTCTCCTTTAAATGACTTCAATTTTTGGTAGAGGAGATTACGACAAAACATGCATCACAACTTCAACTTGACAGTGTCACTGGCGATGAGTTTTAGAAAATGTAGTTAAAGCAACAGCTACTGGTCTACAACTGTGTAACAATACTGAATGCTCGGTACTAACGTTACAAATAAAAGCATCTTTAAATAATCTTTAATCTAAGAATCATCATTATTACTGTTAAATGTGAATTCTCTTTTTATCACATCAGTACACGTATACTGAAACAGTTACATAAAGGGAATGCCATGGGAATGCCTTTCTACTGGTTGGAGACCATATTTGATAGGCCAAAGTGACGTCCTGAAAAATGGTTATCTCCAACCTCTCAACTAACTGGAATTCAGTGACGTTTTGTACATGTACTCTCATTAATCACAACTGCCCTGCTGTAATAAGTGTTTTTTCAATAACCTCACATCAACCGAGTCCGTCTCTCTGCCTGAGTGGAGTAGTTAATATGGGATTTGTTCTATTTCCCTAATTTTGCCATGCACTTCAAGAAAGCGCACACCATTGCAGCTTGATCCTGAAAGGTACTATACATGTATTTACATGTATACAAAGCTATCGGGGCACTGTGCCTCTAGCATCCTTGGTTTCACAAGGAAGTGCCGCTAAATCATGCATTGAGCAGGTTTTTATGTTACACCACTAGCGGCGTATCCAGTATTTGGTGTTGGGGGCAGGGCAAATTCAAAAGCGAATGCAGCTTCAAGCTCATTCAACATGATATTGGGGACCAAAAAAAAGCCTTAATCACGGTTCCAACATCCTTGCTTTCATTTGATGGTTTTATTTGCTTGGGGTTTTGATAAATAAATATACCGGTGACTTCTTTCCTAGTCAACGATGAAGCAGTCTTAAAGACAAGAAATCTGTGTGCCCCCCCCCCAACGCCACTGTGCATCACGGAGCAGGGAGGGAAAATTTCATTCAGAGAAAAAAATGGATATGAAGTGTTTACATAACTGAAAAATATTGTTCCGGAGTTATAACAAGGAGGGTACCTCATTAACTGTACTGGTTTGTTAAGTTGCATTTAACTACATGTATACAAAACCCGTCAAACTTAACTCATTTGGGTAGCCAGGAGAGGGCAGGATTCTGAAAGGTACGAAAATGGCACACCAATTTTGAAATAAATGCTTCATGAGTAAATTACATGATGAATTTTGAACTGAACGAGGTCCATTTCCACCGGATTGTACTGATCAGATACCTCTGTAATTACATACTCTGGGGATAAGATGCTCTGCATGAAGTGCTCAAACTTGTGACAGTAAAGATTCCTAGGTAGACTGACTTTACTCTGCCACTCGAAGCAGTCGGTACTTGCATACTAAACCACATCTCAATAAAATACATATCAACCACGATGGAGCATTGCCTTGTTTCGCTCTTTTCACTGATGCACATTGGAATTGTTCAAAATATACTTTTCAAAAATGCATATCAAACAAACCTGGAGTGAAATATCCCAGAGTACGACAAATCACAAAAAGTAAGAGCACATTTAAGTAACTTAAAAATAGGAAGCAACCAAAGTCGAATTTTTTCCCCAGCTGATATATATATACAGATCGAGTTGTTTCAGACCAAATAATTCTGCTTAATCCTCCAAGATCCCCCCTTCAATATCTGCCTTTTGCAGGATTCAGCATGGCAAACCCCTGCATTGTTACTCCAAAGAAAGTCTGATGCCTTTTGAAAGTTTAAGTACACAGAGTGTGCCACTGGCTTCTTGCGGAGTTTGCAGGATACGCGAAGGATCCTGCCAAAACTATCCACCAAGATGGAGTTTTTCTGGCCGACCAGAACAGGTACTGGTATCGGAAGACATCTTAAGCTATTTTGCTGGTCTATACAGTCTGCGGCCAGTACGGTACAGCCCGGGTAGTTTTACTCGGCATTTTTGGCTGCATCTGGGGAGAAACTGCCAACTAGAATCTAGGCCAGGTGGAAGTGGGACAAAAAATGCTGGGCTTTTCCAGATTCTGGGCCCCGAAATCGCCTCTCCCAGGTCTCTGCTGGGAACCAATGTCAACCATGAAATGGTAAATCATTAACAATGAGAAAACAACTCCCTTCTCATCTGAACAAGCTACATATTTTTGGCAAGCCTAATGACGGTATAAAGCTTTTTGCGGGGGGGGGGAATCCAAGATGCCTCTCCCTAAATCTACAACCAAAACACAATAATGTGAGAAAAGCTAAATACATGTACAAGGCCCTTCACAAAGCCACAAGATTCCTCTGTTTGGACTGCTGCTCTGTCCTGAAATCATAGCTATATCTGAGGAGCACATCTTCAGCTGTTTGGAGCTGTGGCGTTTGAAAATCCTTCAATGAGGGAGAAAGAGAGAGAGAAAAAATCCTCTTGTTAAGAATGTTCCACTGGGAACACCAATTTCTTTTCAAAAGGAGACGGCGAGGGCCTTAATAATGCGAACACAGTTGATGACTACCTCATACAGGTTACGCATGGCACCAATCTTCTAAAGATTGTCAATTAAACAGTTGTCTTTTGAAAAGACGACTGATTAACATTAAAGTACCAGTGTGCCTTATGGCCTGGCTGCATTATCAGCATTGCTGATAACATAAAATATGAGTGCATGTGCATTTAATCGTCAGCTAAGACAATGTTAGACAAGATAAGCCAGGCACATTTGAGTAAAAATGCAGGTTTTTGTGTTAAACAATTTGAAGTGTCTTTGAATGAAATCATCCTGCTTACTTCAGATTGGCTGGCTGATTGTAGTGAGGTGTGGAGTTCAAACGGTACCCCTTCAATAGCTGTAAAAAAAGTAGGAAGATAAATGTAAGTACCACCAGAACAAAATGATTGGTTCACACGGCCAAGAGGACAAGCAGCGAAACAACCAATTAGATGGTGTCTCACAGAAGTCATGTTACATGGAAACAATACACGAAAGCAAATCTACATTCCTTGCTCTCTCAAAAATGAAAATGAAAATACTGCCTATGAACTTTCGAACCTGTTTGGCACCACAGATTGAACGTGTGCTTCGTTGGTTTGAAGGGCAATTCTCAAATGCAACAAATGGTCTCATGTTTTGCAAAATTTCCAAGTGCGACAAATAGGCCAATGCAAGGGCCGTGGTACCAGTTACTGCGAGTACAAATGCAATGTGTTTTCCATGTGATGGTCCTAAGAAAAGCTGGTTACCTGAATGTATCCTCTCAGTGGCTGCATTGGTTTGTATCATGGATGCCTGCCTGGTCAGGGTACTGCCTCTAGATGGATACTGATAAGGCAGCGGATGGGCCGGAGCCACGCTCCCAGCAGCCGTTCTTGGAGATCTACCGGTACACACAGCATTAGGCCCAAAATGTCAACAAGAATATGCTTAGAAAAACTTAAAGGAAAACATGTTTTCTCTGATTTTTATATGTTCAAATAAATATGAAAGCAACCAAATCGAACGCAGTGTCATATGTCTTCGGAGCTCAACTATAACAAGCTTAATAGGTTTTTTTCTGTTCATGCCAAGATGCGAATTCTGAATGTAGATTGCGTCATTGAGGAGAAAACAGAGAACATGAAGGGAGCCCTCACCCTGTGTTCGTAGTGGAAAAAATGTTGTGCATGCAAAACAATGCATGTAGCCATTGTTTGGCATGCACAAGGGTTTATCCACTTCCAACACTGATCAGATCACCGAGGACAAGTCAGGAAACAACATTATAAGACACAGCATCTGAATAACTTGGCTGTGGCTAGCACTTGTACATGTACATATACGAGGCAGTGGACTTAGCCGCTAACTGGCTACTGCCATAGGAATATGCATCAATGCGGACCTTAGCCGAGGGAGTCAGACACAGCATAACGTCCGACCCAACACTCCATAAATATCCCGTTCTGACACAGACTTGATATGGCTTACTACTGGCGACTTACCCCTGGTAGCCCATGTTTGCATTGTTCATGTAAGGCTGAGGATTGCTGACCGAGTGTGGCCTGCCGTAGGGATCCGTGGGGACGGTTTGTGATGTCGGACTCGGGAGTGTTCCCATCTTGAGGTATAACGACAAACCATTGATCTCTCTACACCAAATTAAAAAAATTTTTTTTTTACTACTTTCAGTGGGAAGAAAGATGAGTATAAGCTGACAGGATTTGGAATTCTTTTTTGGGGGGGAAGGTAACTAGATGGCAAATGTAATTTCGGAGACATCTGGGCCTGTTCATAGCGTATCTTTAATGATATGGGGAAAGGGACTGTTGATATTACAAACACATTTGTACACGGTCTGGGGCAAAAAGCCTGCAAACGCAGAGCAGTAAAATTGCTTTTAATAAATTGATTTGAAATCAATGCACTTCATCCCATTTATGTCTATCTGGACCAGCTTTTATACAACAAAACTCATTACGACACATGAACATTCACTCCCTGTGTGCGGATCTTACCATTACAGACCTGCCAACCTGTTGTACTCCTTCCTGAGGTCAGGCTGTACCACACAATAGATTAAAAGGTATTTAAATGAGCCATCAATTCATTTACAATTCTAATCGATCATGTCATGATGCCTGACCTCAGGAAGGAGTACGACAGGTTGGCAGGTACGCCATTACCATTGCCACTGGTCTGATAACTCAATGGGAAATATGCAATGTGAGCGTGGGTTTTAAGAGGGTCTAAGAAGTCAGCGTTTTGGGCATACATACTTAATGGACAGCCCCTATCTGGCCTTCATCACTTCATCCATCCAAGTCCATCTTGCCCAAAGTATTTATAACAGTAAAACTCAGAATACGTCACGGCCATTTTTGATGGTTCAATCAATTGGAGAATCAATTTTGCTTTAGTTTTGAAGCTTGGCAGAAATGTTGTCCAGCCACAGCCTAACAAGTGGCAGTACATGTATATCTTTGCATTTTAAGCCAATCACTTCAACTTTGACTGCTAAAGCACCCGTAAAAAGGGCATCTTGAAAATTTTTTTAATATATCAAAGGAAGACCGCTGTCCTGGTAAAAAACCCAATAATTAAAAAACTCCATGATTATGAACACTGTAATAAAACGTGTGAAAAGAAAATGCATTCCTCATCTTTTTGCCCTTAAATAATACCCACTAAGGCATTCAGGACGATGCCAATTACATGAGCTCAGAAGTTTTCCAAACCAGTACAGAGATTCTTGTGGGAGAGGCGTACTTACTTGTACAGGCATGGGACTTGAGTATGCTAAAAACGAGGAAATTGCAATCTTAAGAAGACTTTGTACAGTGTTTTTCAATTTTCAGTGGCGTGAGAGTGAAGTGAAAAATGAGGAAATGCCTGGTACTTAAAAGCAAACACTTGCTCAGATGCAATGCATTGCTTCCTTACCCTCTCGGCGATGCATCAATGGGTCGCGTCTTAGCCTTGGAGGAGGTCAAGTAGATACCACAGATAGCCTTTGTCACCTGTCCTCTCATGACAAGCTGAACAATCAGAATCTTCTTCTTCAGAACAGGTTCCTCTGAGAGACATTAAGTATTAAGAACAGGCTCCTCTGAGAGACATTAAGTACAAAAATCTACATATTCAACAAGTCCCACAACTAGAAAGTAAAAGTTTAGCTTCATTTCAGGTTGTTGCAGCACACGATAAAATGCCGTAACATGCGCAAAACAAAATTAGATCAACCATATGCTCGCTCATAACCCTATGGATGACTGCTACTACAGCACCTTTGTGTGAGCATTGGTGCATACCACACATACAGTCTATTCACCATGCAGCTGCTGGTTCAATGGGGCCTGCTGCTGGACAACGCCCTCCATTCATGGCATACCACAGCCCAGCAGTCGGGGTCAAAATAATCCGGCAGTGAAGGGGTCAAAGAGCACCTCTGCGTAAAACCCGTTTTCTCTAATTTTATCTGTTCAAATAAATATGGAAGCATCCAAATCGAAAGCAGTATCACTTGTCTTCAGAGCTCAACTATAACAAGCTCAAAAGGGCTTTTTTTCTGTCCATACCAAGATGCAAATTCTGAATGAAGATTGCGTCATTAAGGAGGAACAGAGAAAATGCAGGGAACCCTCGCCTAACTCCGTAGTGGACAAACCCTTGTGGTGTTTTTTGGATGCTTCCATATTATTTGGACAGATGAAATCAGACAAAACATGCTTTCTTAGAGGTGCTCCATATTTCACAAGCCAAGTTTAAAATCTAAAATCATAGTTTTAAATACAGTCGAGGCAAAAAGTTTACACACACCTGGTAAAGCAAGAACGTTTTTACTCAAATTTCACAACTTCACTCATTCCTACCAACTTTTCTTTTCAGGACAGAAAAGATGGGTCTCTACTTAATGTACATGGTGTATGCGTCAAATAAAAACACCCAGACACAAATATATGATTCACATTTATATTTACGAAAAATCAAAATTGTACATATTACTAATATTTAGTGCCACTTTCTGTATTTTTGTCACATCTCATAGTTGCAGTGGACCACTTTCTGAAATGTTTTTACAGTATAATAAGGGGGGTGGATGTAAATTTTCCCAATATTTTTTTCAGAAATATTAATATTTTGAACCATACTCAATGTCTCTGAGTATTTGCTATTAAAGGACACACTATGAACATTAAGTTGAGATACAATTTGTCTGACCCCATAAAGAAAAAGTTAGCAAAACTATTTGAAACAGCAAAAAATTTAAGAAAACTGAACATCTGTAAACTTATGGTCCCAACTGTAATTATTTTTGCCCTTCACCACTGTGGTCCTGGGCTCTATTCCTGGCTTAAAGCCAACTGGGTGTAGAACTGCTCATCAGTTCTCTCCTGCGTTACGAGGAGTTTTCTCGGGGCTCTGCAACTTTCTCTCCTGTGCAAAAATTAACACTTTAACACCGAGCACGGGGTGAAGTTAACAGCAGGACAATATCGTCCGTACGCGATTAAAAAGGAGTGGTAAACAAAGTCTTACTTGAGTCTGAAGTGGTTGGAATTGCTGTGTAGCCCTGAGGTATCTGATCCCCCTCCTTGATGACGGTCAGGTCTGTCAACACTACGTTACCCTGCAAAACAAACTGGCAATGCATTAGTGCATTTACTCAGGAGCGTTTCTGCTTTTCTGAAATTTAAGGAACATGAAGCACAGTTTAATTCACGTTACGGTGACTTTCCACCTCCTTTATAGCAGTAAAAAGGTAACAGTTCAAGAGTGTGGTTTTTTGCTAATGAAGATTTCTATATTCATGAGCCAAAGTGTGATGTCATTCAAGGCAGAAAGAGACTGTCTACAGAGTACATAGCTTTGTGTACAATATATGCGTCAGAATTCTCTACATGTTTTTTTAGGGTAGGTTATGCTTGGTTTTCATGCTGAGCAGCTCATTTGGACAACAAAAGTGGCCAACAGTTCTTCAAAACATTGTTAGTGATTTTGAAGGATTAATTTTTTGGTCCTTTCTCATGCTCTTTAGATAAGGAATGCCTTGTATGACATCAAAATAGTACATTCCTGCATACCTTGATGAAAATATTTTCTCAATTGAAAAGCTACCACTTTCTTTTCACTTCAACCGAGAACATGTATTCCGATCTCGTTGCAATCCAAAGTGATAAGCATGAAAACTATTTTGAGCTTAATATCCACTGTATCATTCCTGTAAACGTTTCTTCCAAAATCACCGAAAATGAGGACAACTTTCTAGCCTGCGACCAATGGCGCTCAAACAGCGACAACATGCTGAAACATCTGCTCAAGATATCATGCATGTACATGTACATTGTACCTGAAAAAGTGATCATGCGCATTACCAATGACACAGGAAGGGATCTGTGGCCATGGTTTCAACTCTCACTACTGTATCTGCACTGACCTGAACAGGTTGGCGGGTGAAGCAGAGATATCTCTTCACCTTCCTGAAGAAGCTGTCCTTCCAGATGTCAGCATCTTGGTTGTCGGTAGTGTTCTCAATCTTGGAAGGGGGAAAAAAACCAAACAAACAAACATGTACATGCGCACTGTTGCATGACCCGGCGCAGGCAAATTTAAGGTCAAAAAAAGAGACAGGAATTGGAGGATGATGCATAATTTATTCCTGCTAACAGTCGACACGGTAACAGCAAAGCACAGGTCAACAGAGGGCGCTCTTAACATTTTGTTGTACAAGGCATTTTGTCTGGCCTACACTCAACATACACAATGGTAAACAAACATCTGTGGAGTACTGAGGGACGCATTTAGTAGTCTGCGGAGTGGTCAGAGACGTGAGACGGAACTGCACTTGAGCACACTGTGGCCCCATCCACATCGTGACTTGTCATTCTGGTTATGAAATTAGCTTGTATAATGTTGTCAAATTTAAGGGTAGGAATTTACGTTTAATTTGAAAACCTTTTACAAAACTTTCCCATACTGTTTAAACGTTCAGCCAGCATGTTACACAGGCTGCTGCCACCTACAAGTATCTCGGTGTTTTCATATACCATACAGTTCAACAATGCACACGGTCCAACCTGTGTAAAAATGTAGATTGATCTTTGGCATTTGAATTAAAACAAACAATGTTTATTGTTTTAGAATCCACCTTTTTTTCCTCAAAAGTTGCATGGATGCCAAAAGGGAAAAAAACGTATGCAACAAACATTGTTTACAATAAAACAATGCCAGATTGCATCAATTAAAATGTAAAACCTCTTTAAAACGGGTGGTTCGGTTTACATATTTGGGAAAATCTGTAAAGAGATTTGGAGCTTATTCTGTTAAACGCCCCACCTTAGTCAAACTTAAAACCCCCAAAAAGGTCACTAATCACACTCAGAGTCAATACTAAATGATCCCCATTGTCTTTGTTACTTTGTTTCCCCCATTAGGCCACATGAAAAAAAATAATTAGATTAGCATCAGTGCCTGCCTCAAAAAATCTTGCCAGTTGCCACTTGATTTTTCTTTTTGTTTAAAAGTTGTCTTTTCCGATTTTCCTACATGTATGTTAACATGGCGCTTTCGTTTCATGGTTGTGACAGTCCAGATCAGCATTCAGCATGCATACCAAAGTATTTAAAAAAAACCTCCTCCCTCCTCGTTTTTTTGCAAATATAACTGATGCTAAACTATTTTATTTTTTTAAGTGGCCTTGTCTGGTAATAGGAGACGTCACTTTTTGAAGTTTTTATCAAATGCTTAAGCGATGTACATGTACATTGGCTGACAGAAAGGAAATATCTGCAAGCATTAGTGATAAGCAGGTTAGGGCTGAGTCAATTCAAATAATTCACTATTCGAATATTCGACCTTCAATTTGATTAAATATGCAAATATTTGGTCACACCAACCGGCAGGCTATTGATGAACAAACCATATATAAAATCAATTGCAATAACACACAGAATTGTACATTATGATCAATATAATACATGTAGCTTCTACCACCTAGGAGTATCTTGTGCCATGATTTAGCAAGATTTAAGAGATGAAAAAGACTTCTTGCCCCATTGAAAATTTCTACTCCTTTTAAATTGTTTAATGAATAATTTACTTTTTAAATCATAGGATTTTTGATGCTTTTCATTTGAATCTGCTCGAACCATGTCTCCACAGTGCAATTTTTTTTTATTTAAAACAAAAGAACATTTTCCCTTCCTTTTCATGAATTTTGCATTTGAATATTCAAATTTGAAAAACTAACATCTGAATATTTGACAATCGATCAAATATTCCGTTATTCGGAATATTCGGCACAGCTCTAAAGCAGGTTGAACTAATGCAAAAATACTGCCTTTGATTTTAAACTCACAAGATCATAGTGAACAGGGCGCCTTTCTTTGTCGGCAACCACACACACTCCCGTGATTGGCAGGGAGTCATCGGCCATGCTAGATTCAGGGATCCCTCTGGGATGTCAACATCAGTTCTGGGTAACTCTTTATTTGTGGGCGGAGGTCTATTCCAGTGGAAGGTTTTCTACTCCTGGCAAAGTTGTCCAAGTTGAAATTCGAAGATTATGCAGCAGGTGCCAGAACAAATCTAATTTTTGCCATCACACAACTCTGCGAAGAAAAGCACAGGAAATTAGCTACGAGAGTAAGAAATGTTGTCTGTAACCCCTTAAGGGTTGCTGGCCCTAACCTTCCCCATTCACAAAAAGTTAAACACCAATATGGGACATTGTGCACAAGGCTGTTAGACTTTGTTTTTCTGAGGTATGCCAAACCAAATGCAAAAGCCAGCTGTTATGGGCCTACCAGACCTATCCCCACAGAATTAAACACTTTACTACTGTTTAATTCTGTGTGGTTGGGGAAGGTTAGGGTTAANGAACATTAATCTTAACTCCCTAGGGTATGTGCAGAATCATATCAAAATTGGAGGATTCAGGACCATTAGGGTTAATTACTGCTGGGTTGGAAATGAGGTTGTCTGAAAAAAATATATAAATCCAGGTTTCAGCCAGCCCTGCTTTAAAATCAGGTATGCAACTTGGACTTTGTCCAAAAAAAACTAGGAAATTCCAATCTTTACAAGACTTTGTAAGGTGTTTTAAACTTTCACTAGCATGAGTGTGAAAAGTGAAAAATGAGGATGATGAACCAAGAAAAAGTTGCATGCTTGTAAAATTGTCAACCCTGGTAGTTGAGCAAAACCAACAGTGGCAATTGCCTTATCAAAGTTACTCCAAAATGCTCTTAATCACCAAGCCATTTAGTCTATTTTATCAAACAGTGGCCAGAGATACATGGATCTAGAGCTGTGTGATGGAAACAGTCCACCAATGGACATGATGGACCAGCCCATGATACACTAAGTCACGGATGTCATGATTTTGAATGGTGGGCAAGATCGGTTGATCATGTTGTACCTGTACTTTCAGCCATGTCAGTGGCTCCAGTATGAAATATCTCAACTCTACTTCCTTTCTGAAACAAGTAAACTTGCTGAGTCATTCTCATTTCAGGAGATTAGGATTCAAAATTTGTGAAAATTCTGCTGTTTGGATTTCACACATTAAAGACATGCCTTGAAAATGTTGAAGTAGGGCTGTGGTGGCAACAAGAAAGAAAGATTTGAAAAGAGAGGCATCTACAGCCGCTGCCCTGTGTGTGGGGCTACCTGGCTACCACAGTAACGTTAGCAGCTGGTTAGCATACATGTACATGTACATCACTGCATGCATTGCATGGTTAGTTCCCTTTCCATCACACACGAGTTTTAAATATAAAATTGGCTGCACAAAAATGCTATTTCACCTAGTTTATTAATCACAAAATCAATCTAGCCCTACATGCACTACATACTCCACACTAGCCCCACTAGTGTGGCACNGACAGTCCGTGGGCCGTGCCACACTAGTGGGGCTAACTCCACACTACCAACTGCATGTACGGCTAACAACTTACATTGTACAAGTAGCACTTTACTGCCGATCAAGCCATAGGGCTGAGTACTAAGCGTCAGCGGCCATTAATCAGTGTTTCGGATTTAATTGGTCGATCGACGTACGTCACCAATGCAATGAACCACGGATATCGAGAATTTAGGACACAGATCTGCAGATTTGGGAGTGGTATTTGTTGAACATGGAGAGGTGTTGAACATGTAGATTCACTGGTTCGATAAAATGTCAGCACAGTATAATTGCTACTGCCGAATACCAGTGAGATCCGGCTTTATTTTGGTACTAGCGCCCTCATTCTTCCACCCATCTCATCACGATCTAGTGTGCAGAACTAAGTAAGTTGGCTTATCTAAAGGCTGCGTCCAGCCAGCAAGATTCTGTGTGATTTACCCTAGACTTCGAAGTTTGGGTTAATGTGAGCATTTTCAGATTCCACAGTCATGACAAGCACATTTCTACTGCTAGTAGTCTTTGGATGCGTCGCTTCTAGTTTTGAACTGCCAAATGCAAAGGTTAGAGTTAGGCCGAGCTGCCTAGGCCCGAAAGCCTAATGCTACGCTAGGCTGCTTTTCAATTTGGGTCTGTCCACAATAAAACTTAAAGACACATTTGCACATAAACAAAATCATCTCTTTTTTTCTACATTGTTGAGAGTCAAGAAATGAACTTTAACCATTTTACTGATATTTGTATAATTGTAGAGAGATACTTTACACAGTTTAATAGGATTTGGTTGTTCATTGTTTAAATAATCAGGATCTTGATGAAAATGTTCAGCTTATTTTAAGGGGTTCCAGTGGGACATGCACATAACTGTGTCAGCTCATGTTTTTCAGGTTTTCTAAAATACCACTTTTCAGAGAAAAACAATTCATCAGTTAAACCATGGGTACTACAGGTGCAACATTTGAGAAATGTGTCAAAATCCATGGCTTTTTATTTCTTTAAGTTATCCTAAACAGGAATTTAAGAAGAGCTAATTAAGGAATAACGTATGTCACAGTGTCTGTCCACAGAGCATGCAGCGTGACAAACAAAAAACAGGCTGATTTTGCCATTCCTTGAGCAGGTAACCTGAACATAAACATTTGTATCTTCCTGAGGAAAATGTTTACAATAATATTTTACATCATGTTTGTGTTTGTGTCACGCAAATGTGTCTTTTGCTGTGGACAGACCCATTTAAGTTGGCGTGAGGCCGAGAAAAAAAACTAGTTTTTGTTCGTTTTTTAATACAGCAACCCTCGCTGGATTTTTGAACAATCAAATCCTGTCAAAAAGACCACCCACTTGTGTATATTGTTTTCAATGTTTCCTGACCTTCGATAAGCCTTATCGAAAATACTGCATGGGTGATTTTGCACAATAGTAGAAAGGGATTGTGGGAAGGAAAAGGGGCAATGTTTGTCATTTTTCCATTAGAGCAAACCGGTTGCACATAAATTGTTTTTCTCCTATGCCCCTTTGTGCCTCATTTTAACACTCTGATTTCATTATTGTGGTGCAGTATTTTACAATTTCATTTGTGCCTATGGGGCAGTTTCATGTGAAAGTGGAAATTTGGTTGTATTGTGACCAAACTCGTTCTTGTAGGTATATGATGAGATGTTATTTCAAGAAAAGACAGTGGAAATAATACGTTGTACATTAACCCTAACAGTGGCCCGTGATACTAAAAATTACTACATATACATGTACTTAGTAGTCAAATGTAGCATACAACGCTGTCGCTTGTAAGAGGACATGACCTTATTGTTCCCTGAAGCCATAAAATACAATAGATAAGACAATGAACCATATAGTGCTGTGGCACTGTGAATGTATGACTTCATTGTTCTCTGTACGAGTAACAATTTGTAGTGCTACATGTAGGTCCTTCAGGCTCAGACTTCTATCTACTGTATGTAGTATTCTGTAGTACTGTAAGCCAAATGACATGCTTGATTAATTGTCAGGGTTAAGAGGTTCATGTACCGTACATGTACCTCCACTTTCATGTTTTTTGTAAAACTTGTTTTCGTTTGTGACCTGGGTTAATAATGGGGTCAGTAACAGGGTGACCATGTTTCCTCTTTCTCATAGGACTGCCCCTTTCATTTTAAGCTACCATACTCAGTACATCTCATATTTATGGGCAAAAGTGTGATATCATCCTAGGCTGAAACCTCAAAGTTGCAGCAATTTTTTATGCTTAATTTGGCTAGAATTTTTATTTTTGCCATCTAAATGTTTCTTGAAATGATGATATACAGTTCGTGATATGTGTAGCAGGGATGAGCAGCTTTATCAGTTCATAACTTGAACAAGAAATCTTTAAATTTAACAGCTCCACCCTCATTTTGTTTAGGAAAAGGATTGGGATAAATATGAAATTTTTACAGAGTGCACTTTGTAATGAAAGTAACCAACAGCGATACCTGTTAATTTTTGCATTTAAAAAGTTAATGAAAAGTATCAGGCGTAAAATTCCCCTTATGGACCCTGTAGGGTCAACACCAGTGCTGACGCCCTACAACACAGTGCACACCATGTGTTTGCCCTGGAAAAGTCACTCTCCAACTTTACCAACTACTTTTTGCATCTATCATGCTGCAGTTCATTGCCTATTCATTGCGCACATGTATGTACATGTACTTGCAACACAAAGCAAACAGATGGCCTTGCAAATCTAAGAACAAGGTCCCCAACCTACTAAAAATTGTGCATGCCCCACCAAACGATCCAGCTAAAAGCTTACTCCTACTTTTCACACCTGTCGCCCCGCCTTCAGGTACATGCATCGACACCCTTTCCTTCTCTGAAATCCCCCTATAATTAACAGGCACCTCATTTTCAAATCCTTGGTGTCCTTGATGGTCCAATATGGAATACTTCCAAAATAATAGAGTCTTTATGCCTTGGCTATTCTTTTTATAATAGGCTTATGTTGTGAAGTTGGACTCTCTGCAGTGGTGACATCTGTGCTGTTTTGTTACTCAACATCGCCCTGTTCTAGGATGGAAATGATACAATGATCATATTAGTCACTTGAATTGATCAGCACGTCCACAGTGTAAAGGCTGATTTTAACCAACAGTTGACTTTGCCTCTAAACTGCAGGTAGACCCTTTCATCGCAGGCCAGATGCCCCTGTGGAGACAGGAGGAGGCAGATGTGGTCATCTACCGCATTCCCTTGCTCAGTTACACCCCTGGAGGGCACCTGCTGGCCGTCGCTGAAGCCAGGAAGTACTCCGGAGGGGATGCTGGTCCGAAGTTCATGGCCATCCGCCGATCAGTTGATGAGTTGGGTGAGATTGGGGGCTCTATGTATACCTGTACATGTGTGTTCCTTGTTGTGCTTGCTCCATACTTGAAATTTGGTTTCCTTGTTTGACTGAGGTAAGGGAATGCTTAAGCACCGTTGTTGTTGATTTGAGTCGCTGACTTAGACTTGATTCAGATTTAGATCTCACATTTCCTTTACTTGAGCTGAGATTTGACTTTGAAGAAATAAATTTTGAATTTTTGCCCTGCCGAACATGTATTTTAACACTGTATGCGCAGTGTATGCTCCCGAAGGCTTGTGTACGTCAGCGGGTACCGTGAAAACTATTTCAAGGTACACGTAAACAGGAGGTCGTAGGTTCGAGTCCCACCCTAGTAAGCTTGTGTTTTTTCACAAGTTTCTAGGGCATACACTGAGCTTGCAGAGTTTAAAATACACGTCAGGCAGGGCAAAAATCCAAAATAAATGTATAGTGTACATCTCCCTGGTGCAAATCCATCCTTGAAATTAAAAAAATACCTTGCAAATTGACTGAAACAGATTTGACTTGTTGGCATCACCAACTTCTGTCAATATCAATGCAATTTCTACTCACTGTCTGGCAGTAGTGTTTATTATCCAATTTTTTGATGGGTGTATCCATCATGTAACATCTCTGGTTTATTCGTTTGCTCGCGAACCGATGGTCAGCCACAGCAAACCAGGTGCTGGTTGGGAAAGAAATAGAACCGTGACTTAATAGGAGAGGTTGTTGTGAATATTCATTGCAAATTTCAGTCAGAAGTTTCTGAAAGAGTATGACAAAAATGCTACGTTTGTGCAGTATTTAGTGCAGTGATTCAAAGGTTCACATGGTGGACATGTTGGACAAGCCAGTGAGACATGGGTCATTCCACGAAGTTGGGCAAAATTTGTGACAGTGTCCGTTGTTACGTGGGTTCAGTAAAAATAAAAAGTTATTTCCCTGCATGTGGATTCCAAACTGACATTGTAATACATCTTGCAAGGCTGAACATTTTGACAGAGTAAATGACCTACTCTACAGGTCCTGACAGGTGGTAAGAGTTACCCATGTAACAAGGACAATGTCACCAATTGTGCCCAAACCTCATGGAATGACCCACATGTGTTTCCAGTATTACCATGTAAATCTCGTTTGTGGGTGAGTTTGGTTCTGGAAAGAACGGATGGAATCACTGTTTGAGGAAGAAAGAACTGTCTGTCGTCTCCCTACGAGTGAAGGTCTTGAATTTTAAAATTGCTCTTTCAGGAATTTGATTAATGAACTTGCACTGTCAAACAAGGTTGGGTTCTGTTCTCATGCGAAGGAATCGGTTACACTTGACATTATTTCATTGATTTATACTGCTCTCCAGGCGACACGTGGGAGCCGATGCAGTATATTGTAGACGACGGCTACCTCATCTTTGACGGCCTCAACCTCGGCAACGTCATGGTAGATGACGAGAAAGGGATCATCTTCATCATGTACACGTACTGCTACCACCATGACCGGTGTGACATCGCCGACACCAAGCTGGTCAAGAGCTTGGATGACGGCGTGACCTGGTCAAAACCGCTGAACCTCTCGCAGCAAGTCGGCACGGCATCGTTCGCCCCTGGGCCCGGCTTCGGCATCCAGGTTGGCTGACTTCCTTGTCTGGAATTGCAAATTGGATCTCTCTATGAGTGAGACATAAAATGAATGCAGTGGCGCTTAGGGGCTGTATGAATGAATGACAGAGGGCTCTGTGTTGATTGCTTTGCATCAGCGTTTCCCCTACCTAATTCAAACACAAGGTGATCCACTGCACTAATATCAGTGAGCGCCGCAGCCTTTTCGCTTTTCTTGCAGCCTCACATACAAGACTGGATGAGAAAAACAAGAGAAATGTATGTTTGCACATATGTTGAGGATATTTCACTATTCATGTTGAGATTGCCAGTGAAGGCAACACAACGTAAGATTGGTAAATGTACATGCAACATGGGAGCACAGGTGCATCTTGATAGGAGTTATTTCAATAGGCCTGTCAGCACAGTCAGCACTACTTACATGTACATTGGTTGAATGCTCTTTGATTTGGTTTGCAACCTTATCCTCATCATTATCACTGTCAGGGAAGTACCCGGCATTTTGAACAGTGCACATACGTGTATATGCTGGTACTGGCATAGGAGTTATTCCAGAAATTAGGGGTCACATTTTTTTCGTGTCCCTGTCATATCTGACATATAAGATCTCATACGTTCAGAACATATTTTCTAATTTCTAAGAGTAATGAATTAATGCAAATTACATGTACCTGCCAAACAAAACGCAATAGTTTGAAATCAATTCCGGTGATATTTACATGCCAAATAACAATGATTAGATGTGACAGGGACACAAAAATGTCTCACTTTTGGACCCCTAATTTCTGGAATTACCCATATCCTACATACCTTTTGTCATTGGTGATATATGTACAGGTATTGCATTGCTGAGCCTGCCCCTGACTAGCTTACAAAGACACCCGACTGGTAAGGGTGGGACGTTTGTTTTAATGGAAAAAAAGCTCCAAATCCGCTTACAGATTTTCCCAAATGTTTAAACGGAACTGCTGCTTTTAGAGGTTTGACGTTTTGATTGATGCAATCCGGCATTCATTATTTATTGTAAACAATAACTGTTACATATTGTTTTTTCCCTTCGGCATCCACGTACTCTTTGAGAAAAATGTGGATTCTAAAACAATAAACATTACTTGTTTTATTCGCACCAACATCAATCTACACTTTTACATTGGTTAGACCATGTGCATTGTTGAAGTACATAATTACGCATATATATATGAAAACACTGAGGTAGGTGGCGGTGGTATCCGTACAAACCAAAGTGGCCGCTTAACGTACATGTACATGCACTGGGCCAATACACCACATGCTGGTTTGCTTGTACCTTGCAAAATTTGCATATGTCATTCTATCTGTGTTGTGCTTTTATAGGTGCCACGTGCACATACAGCTGCACTTGTAGTCAAGTGTCCACCCGGCCTCTCTTTTTTGTCACCATTGAGGAGTACTTGGGCACATAGCTCATAGAATGAGTGAGCTAGGTATTAAGACAGAGCTTGCTTAAAATAAAGTATGCTGTCGGTCATTCAAGAACGTCAGTACACATGCGCGAGGTCAGCCCTATCAGTTCAGCCACACGCCGACTAACACGTACTTCAGGTGATCGTTTCTTGGATGATCTTGTGTTTTTGAAATACCGAACTGTCTCATTGGTGGTATTGTTTGAAGGGAGAAAGACCACAGATTTGATTGAAACTACATGTAACCAATTCTGAAGTTAGTCAATTTTGATGGTGTAGACTGCAGCACTTGATATCATTTTTCTTTTCAAGAAAAAAAGAGCACCAAATAAGGGGCGTCTGGTCTCCTGTGGACACGGCAGCGGGTTTGGAGGTGGCGTGCAGTGCCTACTGAGCGATGATCACGGCATAACATGGCGATGGGGAGGGCATATCACCAAAAGCAGCGACTTTGTGCCCGACGAATGTCAGGTACATGTATTCCCTTCCATTTCTAGATTAGAGAACGAAAGAAGGATATTGCACGCTGATGGACAGGATGGATGGAAACTTCATTTTGTTACTGCTCTAAGGGAATTACACCGTGTTACAATTACATGTACAAATGAAATATTACCAACTGCATGTTAAATCTTGATAGTCATCAGTGTATCTGGAAAGATATTCAAGAATAGCATTGGTTACTGACATTTGTCATTGATAAGCAATGTCAAGTGCAAGTTGAGAGATTCTGGGATTGCAGCACTTTGCAGAAATGAATGATGCTTACCAAAGAATGATACATGTACATGTAGATTTGAAGTGGAATGCAACTGCTAGTTTTTCAACAAGCAGTGTTGTATTTGAGTCCATCACAAGTCCCTGCAAGTCCCTGTAAGTCCATCACAAGTCATAATTCAGTCTTAAGCCAGTTCACAAGATATTCAAATGAGCTGTGACAAAAGCATTCTATTGTCATTGTTCACCCTGTCACTTATGACTGGCCTTGGGAAGGGACTTGTGACTGGACTTGTGATGGACTTGACTTCGACACTGCCAACAAGATCAGAAAAATCGTCCCTCGGGTGGTATTCACTCTGTATGGGTTTTGTAGATCCACAGCAGCAAAGAACGATGAACTGGAATACTTAAACACGACAAGGTTGAAAATTGAGTCATAGTGGTACATTTATACAGTGTTCTGAGGGTGCCAGGTTTGAATCCATTATGTTGGTAGGTGAAATTTTAATAATCAAAGACAGTAGTCGTTATGAATTTGTGCATACAGGCAGCTGAACTGCCCGATGGCTCCGTCATGCTCAACATCCGCAATGGTCATAGATACAAGTGTCACTGTCGTATTGTGGCACGCAGTTACGATGGTGTGGAGTCGTTTCCTTTGAAAGATATCTATGAAGATTCTACTTTGATCGAGCCAGCGTGTGCTGCAGGCTTGCTTTATCACCGAGATGTTCTTTTTTTCACAAACCCCAAAAGTACCACAGAAAGTGAGTACAGATTCTTAATTCTTGGGAAAAAAATTGTTTGTTTATTACTGTTTGTTTCTGTTCATCCAGTAGTACATTTAGCACCAATCACAGGATGGAGTAACAGTTGAGAAGGCAATGAAGAAATAGTTAGTTTTAGAGGTGGGAGGAAAACCAGGGATAAATGTATTGTTCCAGGGAAAACCTGTGGAACCGGGCAGGGACTGAAAACCCAATCCACAGGCTGACCTAGGGACTGAAAACCCAATCCACATGCTGACCTAGGTGGGATTTGAACCCGGGCCACAGTGGTGGAAGGCAAGGAAAGAGCCGCTACACCAACCTAACTCCAGGGGTGAGATCTGTCAGGATGTTTCCTGATTTCAGGTGTTTTTTCGTCAGGTTTTTCCTGATTTTCCAGGATTTTCCAAACAATCTTTTTCAGAATCTGGAAAATCCTAGTTTATCATTAGGGTGTTTTTACATGTAACAGTTGACATAGTACACATGGAATAGGTAACGGTATGTTAACAGGGGGCCACATCACAAATGCATCTCGTACATAGATCCTATGCTGCCATGAGCCCCTCAAGACATCCGGCGATGATTTTGTGGATATTTTGCTTTCCTCCAATCTCACTCCTATGACTCTCATTGTGAGATCTTTATTCATCATATTCCTGCCTGCACTTTTGCAACAAATGGAACAAATGTGCAGGCCTTAAACTCCCCCTGAGTGGAGAGATTTATGCATAAGCACTGATGCAGTCAAAATGCCACCGAGATGATTATCTGAGAACTGGCCCCTGTTTCCCACTCATTCTTTGTTACCTACATCCATACATCCCAGCCGCAAAGCTTATCGCATGATATTCTGTGTAATTCTGCTGCTGCACAGTGCCCCTGCAAAAATATTGGATGTCACAACTTGCGTATTTCCCATTTATTTCCTTCTATCAAATTTTGAATTTTCACCCAAGTGTTGGGTTTTGCTAAAGCCGGTCACATGCATGGAGTGGTCTGAAAGTTTATGAATCATAGTGAAACAAAGCAGGAGTTTCCAAGTGAGGCAGCCAAAAACCTAGGGGTATTGTCCATAGCTGTCTGAAAATTTGTAGTTGTGAATTGGTGGGAAATGAGATTCCATTCTAATTATTCTACACTTGCTCCCATGCAGGAGTTGACCTGACGCTGCGATGGAGTTACGACAATGGAACAACGTGGGACGGCGAGCTTCAGATCTGGGATAAAGCCAGCGGTTACAGCACCATGACGGCTCATCCGGGACCTTCACAGTATGTCTTCATTCTTTTTGAGAAGGGCATCACATCAACCACCGATTCCATCGAGTTTGTACGTGTGACCTTATATGATGAAGTATAGTTGGACTTCGTCCTTCATGCCCTGTTTGTGCAAGGCACATCTGAAGGGGACCCAGGAAATGAGGATCAATTGCTGTCTGTGTTGATTTTTTACCACATTTCAGTTGCTGTGGCAGTGTTTCAAATTGCAAACCAGCGGTTGCAATATGTTTTGTGAACACTTAATACCCAAAGATGTTTTTCCTTACCGAGCAGGACTCCGATGACACTGCTGGCAGTTTGTTTTGCAATGGATGATACTAATTCACACAAATACGTATCAAAGGAGGTTTAGCCATTCCTATATTGGTTGAGAGCTGAGTCTCTGTATGGTACTGCCTTGGTACTGCCTTGTATTAGCTAGTTCTTTTTTATTTTACAAATTCCCAGGAAAACATCAAGGGATATACCATGAAAGATGTCCATTCTTATATGCCTGTCATACAGGTAATCTCTTTGCATATAATTTTTGAAAGCCCCAAAATTGTTGATTTATGGGATAAAATCATGCGGGTTCCTTATTACTAAAACTGTATATTTCTTAATTTATGGAGGGGTTGAGGTTACCGTGGACAACTGGGAAGCAAGTTGTAAGTGCAGTATGCATTAAAGGAAGTGTAATGTCTGTTTACTTTGAAGTGGATTTCTGTTAACATTCACTTTTTGCATACTTTTATACAGACGTACTGCAAAGTTTTTGTTTGAATGGACTTCAAAATTAATGTCAAATGTATTTTCATATTTTGTGACATTATAACTAATGAGAAATATGATTCAGTTGTACTCTAAATCCTTTAAGAGTAAATAAATGTGCTAATTACGTACAAGAGAACATTTTTCACTTATTTCCCAGTTTAAAACCGTCTGAAGGTTACAATTTTTTTTTTCTTTTGATCCACATGCTTTTGCAAAGGATGTGAAGAGAAATACCTTGGGGAAACGGCTAGGTCACTTGGTGAGAGGGTTCAGGAACACGTGAGGGGGAAGTCATCGGCATTGCACATGCAAAAGAAACATGAGGGGTGGTCTCGAGAAGTTGAGCTTAAAATATTGAACAAGTGCCGCGGTTTTGCGATGCTCAGGCAGGTAATGGAATCGGCGTATATTAACCCTAACTGCCAAGCATATTGTGTGGCTTACACTACTCAGTATTGCAAAATACTAAGCAATAGCCTTAGCCTGACGGACCTAGTGCTACAAATTACTACTTCTGGCTAGGTTACTTCCATTGTTACTTGTACTGAGAATAATAAAGTCATGCATTCATAGCGCCACAGCACTGTATAGTGTATTGTTCTATACATTGTATTTTATGGCTTCAGAGCACAATATTAAAGTAATGTCCTCTTACAAGCGACAGGGCTGAATACATTTTACCACAAGTAGTAATTTGTAGTATTATATAGGGTTATGGTTAAATTAAAGAACTTAAACCTGAAATAAACAGAAAGGAGGAATTGACCTTCGGACAACCATAGAGAGCTGAAGGATGAAAATTGGACAACCCTGGTTTCCATGGGATTTAAGCAATCGACGCGTTCCCCGGGGTCCCGAAACACAAGGCGCGTCGGATTGTTCTTCAAGGAAACAATCAAGCATTCGCACCTGACGAGGGGCGGGAGACGCCCGAAAAGTCGTATTGGAGTAAGTTCCCACAGGGTGATATGGCTTTTAGAGAGGTAAACAAGTTGTCAGGAGAATCCCTAGACAAGGCCAGGAACATCGTAAAGTGTATCGATAATATATTGATGCCTTTTACTGGTCATGTGTGCGTGACATGTTTACTTTGGTAGGCCTACTGGAGCGACAAAGGCGCATCCAGTACGAAATTATCGGGGAAGGGAGCAATTTTTTGTGTGAAAGTGTAAAAAGATGATGGTACTTTCCCATTCAGTGACACATCATCTCTGGTGACTTGCAATAACTCCTGGTTGGAGTATGTGAAATCTGGCCTTTTATGTCGGAGAGTTGTGAGCGGATATAAGAACGAGACCAATCATTAATTTTGGTTTATTTGTCGGTTGACTGGTGGTGCAAGTAGAGGACTGTGTTTCAAATCCTCTTGATAGCAAAGTCTGACAGCAATTTCAATGGTTTTCTAACAGATGAAAATGAAGTCCACAAAACAAGATCTCAATGAAATCCATGAAGTAGGCTTATTTATTAAAAGTCCTTTCGTGGCCATCTATCACAGCTTTAAGATATAATTAAGAGTGAACGCCAGTTCAGTGCTCAATTTTATCCGAAGTCATCGCCACACCGCCCTCTAGCGCATGTGTGCGTCCATATTATCTTTCGACTATGGGATGCACGTGCAGAACTACTTGGAGCTGACTTGTGTGTGCTTATTCCTCCGTGGTTTTACTAAAATGGCCCAGAATATTCTTGAAAAATTTAACTTTTTGTACACTTTTCGCGTACGTCTATCGTGTTTAAATTTTGTATTTATCCTTTGGTTTGTTATTCAACAGGCATTTAGACTGGGAGCAGGGCAGGTGAGCTTAATTGTTTGTAGACAACCATGCATATGACAACACTCGTAACACACTTTGCTGTACGCACTTTGCTATTCGAGTGGGGGCCACTGGCCACCCCCTCCCACTTTTTCAACTATTGTGCCTTGCTTGACTTTTTTTAAAATTTCAGCATGCGTTAGTTTTGAATGTGAGTTTTGCACTGAATTAGACAGATGGTTTTGTTGTGACCATTTTAAGTTCAAGGCTATATGTGTGCCAGCCCGCATGCATTGAGCACTGCAGTGGAAAAGTATGCATGGCCTACTGAATTGTGTATTTGATCCTTACAAATTTGGTGTCAAAATGACCTCATAGAGTAAGTCTGAAAATGAACTGTAGTGATTCCGTGTAGCCGGGGTGCTATAGTAGAACCTACATCAATTAACAGACTTGTGTCTGTGCAGAAAACATATGGTGTGATTGACTAGCTATCCTACCCTACTGTCAAGGTCCACTTACCCACAGCACACCTGCTGACGCTCCTGCATTGCAAGACAATTGACCAGTCTGTCCATACCAAACAGGTGAGTCCCCACATAGCCGCTCAGAAGACCTTGTGGAGGCACGGAGAGGCAGAGGTGAACATCTACCGCATTCCCTTGCTCAGTTACACCCCCGAAGGGCACCTTCTAGCTGCCACTGAAGCCAGGAAGTACTCGGCGGGAGATGCTGGGCCCAAGTTTATTGCCATCCGAAGGTCCTTGGATGCATTGGGTAGGTTCCCACGCATTGCACAGCATCCGTTGTGATGTCTAATTTACAGCAGCTCACACTGCAACCACTGTTTGACAATTGCACATGTTCATGTACAAGCACCTAAAATGCACGTAGTAAATAGTAAATACAGTATCTCCCATACTAGTTGGTCATTGGTCATCACCGTCCTGGCAGGACAGTTACTTTCATATACATGTATGCCACATAACTGGCCATGCAAACTTGTTACCCATGCAGAAAATACTGGAAACCTGGGGCATGCATTTGTCTTTCTATTATGTGATTTGGATACAAAAACATAACAATTATTGACGTGACTCTTCAAATCTGTGATGCAGATTTTGTTTGGAGGGTCCACCTTACGTGTTCAACCATCATATCCCATTTGAACAAATTGGAGTTGTAAAATTGGTAACAAACTTGTATAATGTCCTCTGTTTCTGTGGTGTGAAAAATGGTTAGTATGCAGCAGAAAGACAAGAACAAAACTATTATATTATCTTGAACATTCTGTCCTTAGGAGGAACAGCTTATGAAAGTCCTACTGAATGTTGTGACCCTTTAAGATGTACATGTATCTAAAAGTTTTAATAATCTAACAAGAAGTTCAACAACACCGCTCTAGCTATGACATGTTAAGATCACGACCAGCCAGCCACCGTCTCCAGCCCTGAGCAAAAGAGGGCACTATTGTCTCAGATGGGTTTGAAGAAAGGATATGACACTGAAGTAAAGTACATTAACTACTTACGAGGACATTTAAGGTTGTACCAAAACAGATAATGTTGAATTTTGCGAGAATTTTACACTCCTTAAAGTAGGAGTTCCACAAATCTTATCCGAACTAAGTCTGCCATGGATTTATCTTCATGCACTGTTTCCTATTTATCTTCATCTACTGTTTCCTAGGTGAAAAATGGGACCTGATGCAATTCATCGTCGACGATGGCTATCTCATCATTGATGGTATCAACCTGGGAACCATCATCGTGGACGACGAGAAAGGCATCATCTTCATCATGTACACCGTCTGCAATCACCACGACCAGTGTAACAACCCCAGTACCATGCTGGTCAAGAGCTTGGATGACGGACTGACGTGGTCCAAGTCTATCAACATCTCAAAGCAGATTGGCTGCCAGTCATTTGCTCCGGGCCCAGGCTTTGGTTTTCAGGTAGATTGCATTTTGTGTACTGGGTAAAATGTGCAATTGGGGTTCCGTGCTGAAGCTAGGAATGAGGTATACAGTTATCTGTGTGTGAATTAGAACCATGCACGAACAAGATAAGAGTCCTCTTGCCAAGCAAGAAAGTCTCAACTCACCTCAGTTTGATCGCGGGCATACTGCACAGAGTACCCACAAGCAATTTCATAAAAATTATTTCAGCGAATTTGCGTGTGCATTAAAGAAACACAGGGCAATAGTTAGTGTTTGTCAGATCAGCCTGTCTCACAGTTACAGGGCTGCTATAAACACAGTGCAGACACTGTAATGGCAGTCAGATTGCAGACTGTTAATGTCCTTTAAAAAAAATGGAAGCAGGAAAGGAAGAATAGAGCTAGCTTGTAACTTTGACCCTCTTGTCCAACTGGGGGGGGGGGTGATTTTCTTACCATAAAATGGTTGGAACTTGAAACATTTTATTTCAATGAAATTTCTCATTTCACTTATTTCTCAGCAAGATGCTTTGCTCCAGTTTCATCTGTCCCCCAAGAAACTAAATACATTGACCATGAAGCAGCATGCATTTTTGGAAAGGAATATTTAGTTGTTGATTTGTAAATTATAGTCCTGTGGAGCAAGCAGATTATTCAAATATTTGTTTCAGGCAACCCTCAATGGATTATAAATGCATTGTTTCCTTTCACCAGAAAAAACTGGCTCCACACCAGGGCCGTCTGGTCTCCTGTGGACATGGCAGTAGGTTTGGTGGTGGTGTGCAGTGCCTACTCAGCGACGACCATGGGACGACATGGCGTGTCGGGGGCTACATCAAACGGAATGGGGACTTTGTACCAGACGAAAATCAGGTACACATGCTGTTGTGGTCAGCAGAAAAATTGATCTGGTGAATATCTGGAACCAGCAGTGAATTTTAACATTTGATGCAACTGAAAATTTTCTAATCAGCCACACCCATTGAGGGTATGCCTTGCAGATTTGCACAGAGTATTTGGACATGTTGGAAGTGTATATCTTATAAGAAGCAGATGGACCTTGATAGCTGAGCTGCCTTGCATTCCTAAATTCGAATTGTTAAATTGGTTTATGATCACTTTTGCAAACATGATGGGTTCTGCAGAGCTGCCAACCAGTACGATTTTATCGTTTTCATACGATTTTTCAGTGACAATATGACATTATAATTTTTCTCAATAAAATACAATTCACCCAAAATTATTTTAGTTTTTTATCCATTGTTTGGCTGAATTTCGCACGGTAACATCAATTGTCGGCAATGTTGGAAGTTCCATGCAAATGCATGCAACATGCATGATGAGGTGTCCACCCATTAGGCCCTCTATTGTCTGTTGCTGCTTCGTTTGTGCAGTTTGTCTGTGCACCGTACATAAACTATGGATGTAGACTGTGCATCTCGCTCGATTGTTCACATCCGAATCAAGCTCCAAGTTACACAACACTGAAGAATTGGAGATTTTGGGGGGAAAATAGGACTTTTTAAGGTAAAATTATAGGATTTTTGGTCAAGTGAGGTTGGCAGCTCTGGTTCTGCAAAGGGGCTGTAGAGGCAGTGAAAGGCATTCCCCTGAATGGTGCATCTACGCATCCATCTAATAGAGAGTGTGTGCACCACTTTCGCACAGTTGTTGGGACCTTTAAAAGTAAACCATGTCCACCGCATCCGCATTTATGTTTAATAGAGGGATTGCACTTCACATTTTTTCAATGATCCCTTGCCATGTTAAAGGAACCATTACTGAGTACCAGCTGCAACGGGTCTATCAATGAAGAAACTGAAAATGTAGAAACCTTCAATTACATTGCAACTTGAAACTTAACCCTGTGGAAACGACTGGGTAATATTATGAAAAGAATCTCATTCACATTCACAGGCGAATTTCCCGCTTGTGAAAAAAAGCTGCGAAAAATTTTCCCACTTGTGAAAAAAGTGTGAAAATAATTCCATTTGTGAAAATTTTTCCACTTGTGAAATTTTTTCCCACTTGTGCAAAAAGGTGTAAACATTTTTCCACTGGTGAAAAAAGTGTGAAAAAAATTTCCCACTTTGGAATTTCTTTTCCACAGACGGGAAAAGTGTGCAAATTTTTCCCACTGAGGGGAACATTTTCACAGTTTGTGAAATGAATATTCATTTTCCCGGATGGGAAAAAGTGTGAAAAGCTTTCTTTCTTTTGAGGTTAATTCTCAGTTGCAATGTACTGTACGTGTACATGTATGTGCCCTTTTACATATTGCTTCGCTCTGTTTTCCACAAACACATACTTACTTCAAATTACTTTGCAGTGGCTTACTTTGCCCCAATTTCATGCTTTTGTCTACAGGCTGTTGAACTGTCAGACGGCTCCATTATGCTAAACATCCGCAATGCCCACTTCTACAACTGCCACTGTCGCATGGTGGCACGCAGTTATGATGGGGCCGAGTCCTTCCCCTTGAAGGATGTGTACGAGGATAAGGTTTTGATTGAACCAGCGTGTGCGGCAGGACTGCTGTTTTACAGAGATGTGCTGTTCTTCACTAATCCAAAAAGTACTACTGAAAGTAAGTGGAATCTTTGATCAGAGCTTTGTGACTGGGTCTGTCTGTATGCTTCAGTCACGGCACTTTAGAAACAAGTCTTTTTACACCGAATGCCATTTGAATTTCACTGCCGATCCTTTTTCAATGGCCAACTGTACAGTTTTTGTTGGAACAATTGTTCTAAAATGCTTAAATTGGTTTATTGACTTTAAAGGCCGTTTTTCTCAAGTTGAAATCTAATTTCAGGTTCCATATCTCTTTCAGAATTTATTCAAACTTCCTCAAACACGCATCAAATGAAAGTTTGTTTTTATACGTACATTACAGTGATCCCAGTTTCAAATTTTGAATTTTCACCCAAATGTTGGGTTTTGCTAAAGCCGGTCACATGTATGGCATGGTCTGAAAGTTTATGAATCATAGTGAAACAAAGCAGGAGTTTCCAAGTGAGGCAGCCAAAAACCTAGGGGTATTGTCCATAGCTGTCTGAAAATTTGTAGTTGTGAATTGGTGGGAAATGAGATTCCATTCTAATTATTCTACTCTTGCTCCCATGCAGGAGTTGACCTGACGCTGCGATGGAGTTACGACAATGGAACAACGTGGGACGGCGAGCTTCAGATCTGGGATAAGGCCAGCGGGTACAGCACCATGACGGCTCATCCGGGACCTTCACAGTACATCTTCATACTCTTTGAGAAGGGTGTTTCATATTCAACTGAATCAGTTAACTTTGTACGGGTGAGCCTGTATGACAAGAGATAGCTGACTTCTTTATTTACACTTGATGCCCAAGATGCAAGTATTGTATTAATGTACATGTACTGTATTGGTAGAAGTTAATAAGTCAGTCTTCAACACATTTTTTTCAAAGGTCCTGAAAACAACTCATTGACGGAAGAAACAGAGAAAACACAAAGTTTAAATGTTACAGGGCACAACACTTTTATTTCAGTGGAAGCGTTTTTAGTGACAGTAGAACTTTATCATGATGCTGCCATGTTTGTCTTGTTCCCTGTAGCCCCTTTGGCAACATTAATACAACTTCACATCTTGATAAAAGGGAACAAACTCTTTCCTTCCTGCCTGAGTTTAGTTACAGTGCTTTGAATGTGGGAAAAGCAAGATGGCTGCCCCATGATAGAGGTCTATACCAAGCCCTCTGAATGACTCCCAAGCTTCTTAGCCCTTTTCAGATAAATAAGAACACCAACTTCTCCTCATTGGCTTGTTCTTAATGGAGGGATATTGCTTTATATGTCGCCTTTACCTTGATTGGATGAAGCACTGAGTTCAAAAACTACTTCACCTACTGGCACTGGCAAAGATGGTATGCTGTGGTATGAAGATGTGACAAATACGCAGAGCAGAAGTGGTAAGATTAACACAAGAGTTGTATAATTGTTTTATTGTATATGCGGGAAGTTTTTAAAACTTCCACTTTTAAGTGGTTTAAAGAAAGAAAAAAGATATCATCTGGTGTAGACTATTTTCACCGTTGTAAGGGAGTCCAGACTTGTGCAATTCTCAGGATTTAACAGAAATAAGGGGAAGTGAGGTGCAGTTTAACACATTGACCACCGACTACGAGTATATTAATTGTCACAGGTGCACCGAATTTTGCCACTACGGATATACTCATAGGAAATGAAAGGCTTTTGAAAATTGAATAGACTGGCATCATCGAAGAACACAACACATACGCTGCTGGCAGTGTGGAGGACATAAATCTGTAAAATGCTCATGTTCATATAGATACCTGAAAGGTACCCATCAAATATGTGCGCATGTGTACAACGCTAGGCAAATGAGAATTCCCCATGAAATCATGCATGGCAGTCAACCTGTGAAGCCCAAAAATATTTATACCCCTTGAAAATTTTGTAGTTGCTGTATTCTTAAAATATTTGAACTGGGATGGTCAATCCAGGCACACAGAATCTCATCTTTCCTTTGCAAAAGCCCGTCTGGGCTAAGATGTAAACTTTTCGTTGTCAACTCTGGTCTTTTAGTTTAAATTCTATGTTGTCCAAATTTTGAATGGGTGTGAATAATTGTGGGTTTTAAACTGTACATACACACTGCAATATAGACGATAGAAGAAGGCAGAAACTTTCAAAGTGTGACTTGGCCTGAACTCAGTGCAGCCTGGTGTTTTCACTTGCCCGCTGGATGTTTGATGGGGGGGGGATTTTCTGAAACCTATCCTCAAAAATCTGACTTTTTTGGTGTATTTTTTGAACTCTTCTTTATTAGGTCATAACAGCCATATTGGCTCATATTCCTAACAGTGTCCAGTATCCCTTCACTCCCGGAAACAAGAACAGCTAAACATTGTACACAGAATATTTTAAAGCAATGGCCATTTCTTCGAGCTTTTGTTTTGTACAAGCTTTCAAAGCTTAGGCCGATGAGAACAAGTTACCATCCATGCATGTGCATTGCAAGGAGATCAAGCTTTCACATGCCATTGGTGTGCATCCTGGCACCAAAAACCACTCATGTCCAATTAGGAACTTTTTGCCAACTATTGCTCCATGGTAAGATCGGTACCCTTACCTGTCAACATAGATGTCTGCTGGTGAAATTATAAACTTACACATACATGTATACTCTGAATGGGCTGCCACCCTATCTCATGATTTCTCTGGTCTCTTTAAGAAGCTTCTATATATAGAAATGTGTAACTTCCGTTGCCATACTTCTGAGGCATCAGTGTGTGAGATCTGACATGTTGTCACCATCGCTGGGGCTGATTGGTTGTCTTTATAGACAACTTTTCTTTTCAAGAGAGTAAGCAATCTGAGAGATAGCGAGAGCCCATTCCAACCTGTTGTTTCCAAAATTCTTGGCCGAAGAGGACAATGTCTTTCAGATGCAGAGCTCAGATTTCAGAAATAGCATTAAAGCTCGAAGTCATTGTGCAGCTTGCCGCGACACCCAAAGAGGTACAGTTAGACCCTTTCAGAACAATTATAATCCCCACAGAATAAAATGTATTTAATTCTACCCCTTTTTTATGAATGCTAACCAAGCCACTTAGTTTTCATGATATAGTGTTAACTGAAGACTCGTTCACAATCATCAAACTCACCAGTAGAGGATACTTGAGGTACTGGTTTCCAACTTTTGAACGCCCCTATTTGGTGCCATTGTTTGCATTGAAAAGAAAGACCGGTATGTGTACATGTATTTATGTATAAGGAAGGCGTTAAAAACGGGTGTCTTGGACACCCAGGCCAAAATGGTCATCGTGATCAACTGACCTCTGTTAGGTGCATTGAAAAGAATGGGACCCCTTCCGCTTTTTGAGTCAGGAAGGGCGGTCCCCACTTTTGGCAAGTCCAATAATGGGGCAGGGGTTAACGCATTGGTCTATTAATGTCTGATGCCTGATCGACTGGTCTCCTCACTTTGAAAATCCTTCCGCCGGTGGTGCAATGCATGTGTTCCTTACAAAGTATATGTATGATGTTACATTGTAAGTGCACAACATCCTCACACACTGCTACCTCTGCTGTACCATGCACCATTGTCATCTCGTAACCTGTCTAAATTGTCTGATTATAATTGTAACTACTGCAACTTTAAAAATCAGTAATGGTAAGCACGATTCAAATAGCTACATACATCAACTTAGATGCTAAACATTTTTTGAGGAAAAGTTCTATTTAGTCATTTTGAAATTTCCTTGTTTCTTTGCAATAACAGTACATGCCAGATGGAGCAACTTTGCCGAATTTCCAATGGTGCTTTTTGTCATTGTACGTTCTCTTCAACATTTGCTTGAAACTGTGCTGGCTTGTTAGTAGTTATGCAAATTGTTATTTCTGTGAAAAAGTTTGCTACTTAAAAGGATGTCGCGGTACACTTGTGTATATATATGTAAGGGAAGCATGATTTGCTTAGTGCAAACATACATAGGGCCTATTATGTATGTTTGCACTAAGCAAATGTAAGTGGTGTACATGCAATCAAAGTATAATCTAGTTTGTTCGGTAAAAACGCTTTGTACTTAGAATACATGCTTTTAATACAATTTTGGGGGTATTTGAATAGCAATATGTTCAGAAATACACCTGCTTTTATACCTGTTTATAATACAATTGCACTGATTTTATGTTGTATAGTTACCGCACTGCAAAACATTTTTATGTTGATAGTTATTGGACTTTTACTTACCGAGATGGTATTGCAAAATAATATTACACACACTCTGGCATTGTTTTTCCCTTTTAGTTATCATTTTTCACGATAACTAAGAAGTACTATTTTAGGGTATATAATTCACCGGTTTTGGTTTTAGTCTTGATCAGGTGCGTTAAGATGCTTGTTTAATGTGTGAAAGCTTTAAGAATTGAAAATTTAAGAAATTGAAACCATCTTTTCTTAATTGTAGCAGCAATGGGATTTTTAAAAATTCAAAACTCCAAAATGCGTCATAGCGTCTCCGTTACTCTAATTTTCAATGTTTGTTTTACTACTTTCACGGATATTTTACTGCCTTTTGGTTTTATGTGGAGTTTTTTGTGTCTTTGAGCAAAACTGTGATGTCATCCCAGAAAGATATCCTCAGTGCATTTTCTGTTTGGCACAGTAACTCTTGCATTTTTTTTAAAATGTGTGATCATCAGTAGGCCTACACAGCAGTAAGCAAGGAAGCAACCCTTTGTCAGAAATTGTTTTCAGTAAGTAAATGCCGGCTGTACAACTGAACAGAAAAACCGACCCACGTCTTCCCATGATGACATCCTAGTAACAGCGCCATGTGTCATCCAGTAAAGCATGGTAAATTTAAACGCTTTAAAATTTCACTCTTCATTGCACTGAACCTAGTAGGGAGGTCAAATGCTTTTATACTGAAGAAGAGTATAAAGTGTGGTTGAAGGTGACAATAGATAACGACAAAACTAGAGTGGGGAAAGTAAATCACAAAACTTTGGATGCTGTGTTACAAAAAAAATATGCCAAAATCGACTCTCAACGTAGGCCTAAAAAGTGGAATTTTCAACAAAAAAAGCCCTGTCTTCCAGCCTGTCAGTATGCCTATAAAAAGTAAAATCTGCAGGCAGAATGAACTGAAAACGCTGGTTTTGGGAAGTAATTAAATAAGTAAGTTTTGAAGGACCTATCTCGCTTGCACATGTGGCGCCGCTTCGATCCTTCTTTCGTACATGGTGTCGTTACCGTGAAGACGTCGCCCACGTGCAACGGGTGGAAAAAAATCATTGCGCGCGCGTGAACTGAGTCGCTTTATGGATCTTGCCACCAGACTTACACGGATCTGGGAGCTTGGTGAGTATAGCGGTGAAAACAAATCGCTGCATTGCGAAAAATTTGCTTGTAAAAGCCCCCGGATGAACGCCTATAGTTCATGTCCGTCCATTGGCTGGGTTGTAAAGGGAGAAAAAAATGGCCCTCTGATATCGTCCACAAACAACATTTTAAGATAGGGAGGAATTTCAAGTGTCGAAAATAAATGTGAAGTACATGTACGTACCACACTGCGTGCAGGAGACGCACCGTACTGCACCAGACTATTCATGGTTCAGAAGCTTTCAAAGTAAGTCGTCTGTAGTGTGGTCAAAATAATTTGGTTTGCCCACTGTATACTGTTCCGTTTACACTGCTCAACTTTTCAAATCTTTACTTGGACTTAAAATTCTGACTGTTGAAATACTAAGGATACCACAGAGGGGTGAGTCAACATGGCTGAATTTTAAATAAAGAAGTTTTCTGCTGTTAAATTCTCACTCTTGTTAGTACAAGTTGGTTAGGCCTAGTGCTAGTGGAGTGTCAGTCCGAGTAACTAGGCCTCTACAAACACGACGAGTTCACCGTCTTTTAACTCCTGGTCGATGACTGTGTGTTCAGATGCAAGAAGAGGCAATTCGAGGAGTCATGATATAGTTATACCACGGTTAAACTGGATCACGGCTGTTTTGTGTGGCAGGTTAGCACGGAAAACGTCGAGCGATTCAGGCATAAACTAGTTAGTTCGGAAACAGTCGTCGTATGCAGTTTATTTCGTGTCAGTGATAGCTCCATGGTGGTCAGGGCATGTACCTTCCAATTGATTGTATTACCAATGATGGAGGAAGTAGCTTTGGTGGCACTGGTGGTACACACTATCAGAGTTTGTTTCACATCATTTGGCATACATTTGGCATTGACGCTGGTCTTGTTGAGTCATGTGAATCTTGGAGTTGGCCAGCCATCAGCTGCAAAGGTACGCCACTTTCGTACAAATATCTAGGGCCAGTAGGTCTAGGGCCCTGCAAGAGTACAATATTTCAAAACTTGGAAAGAGTTCCATGATTGATATACATGTATTATTCGGACGCCACTCGACACCCTGTGCACAAACCCAATGAAACTGGTCTTAAAAATTATTTTTTAGACGACCTTGTTTTTTCCTTCCTACATTGAACTTTCCTTGATATGCTTTTGCTTTCTGATGGCTAATAATAGGCTAACTACATGTACATGTAGGTCACTGTACGGAATAATTAGTACTGTTGTACGTATGGTCATGGAGGAAGGAGGGGGTATGGTATTGTGGAACTCTTTCCTAAAATGTTTAGGTCTATGTAGGGCCTACTGTACTGCATGCATGTATTCATGTACATGTAGGCCTACGTATTTAGGCCTTTGTGTGACTGTTCGTTGAAATATAAAATTATTAGGAATAACATTAAACACAAGAAGTAGGCCTACAAATCAAAAGAACAATAAATTTAATCAAAAAGCAATGGAGTCACAGGCCTACATCATACATGTACATGTACTTTCAAAGCTGTGGAGAATGTCTAGCCGTGGTGTACTGGAACATGGGAAATGGGAAATTGTGGGAGGAATCTTTGAATGAAATTCAACTGCATGTACATGTACATGTACATGTAATCACCTTGATGGGTTTTCTAAGTTTACATGCAGTACATGCTGGGATTTCTAAACATGCAGGGATGAATTTCCTGGCCATGGAAATTTGAGAGTGCTGGGGGGGGGTTGACATGATACAGTACAGATGTACAGCTGCTAGATATATTGCATTCATGCACATGTAGGATCTTCCATCAGAACGCCATATTTATGGTTTTTCTGGTCTCAATTTTTGAGTAATATTGAATATACAGTCCATTTTGGTTGTAAGTCTTCTAGAAATTCTTCAAGATCTGCTTCTCTCACCTACAACGGAACAGTGGGGGAATGATTGAATAGCCCATCCGTCCCCCCTCCCCAAACATGCCAAAGGGGGGGATATCCCTCTGGATTTACACCTGTGATCCGTAGATGGACATGACATTGTTACCCACAGGACAAAAACCAAAGAAAAAACTAAACAATTTTTTACGACAAACTAAACATTAAGGACAAGCACAGCTTTTTTAAACTACTTATTACACAAGCAAGGAAAAACAACAAATTATACTTCATTCATTACAATCTAATGCAAGGTAAACACAAAATGTTCAGCAGTAGCTAGGATGCTGTAGTACTGACATTAGTCGTGGAGTATCCTCAGAGGCTTGTTGGATGGAGCTACAATCCTGGCCAAATCTCATTGGGCTCCCCATCCCCGGGCCCCCTCTCAATGTTGGGTTGCATTGCGCGGTCTGAGTTCCAGCTCGAGATGACAATATGGACGGGGGAGTGGGGGACCTGCAAGGGGTGTGGCCACTGAAACGTGTCCTAACAGTTTTGTCCAGGATTGTAGCTACATGTAGCTAGCCCAATTATGTTGCCAAAACTTTAAGTCTAATGGCACATTAAATAAAGCTGCCCTTAGAACTACAGTATGGTCAATCCTAGTTGAGAGACCATGTCCAAATTATTCCAAAAGGCAAGTTACTCAGACAGGGGCACAAATTTCCCTGTTTATTGCAATATGTTTTCCCCAAATACTTCTTCATTTGTGTTGAAAGAAAATGTCCTTTATAGGTTGCATACATGTAGGTAATTTTAGACTAATACACCTTTTTAACAGATGGAGATTTCCTTTAAAAAGTAACGTTTTCAAACCATGGAGCTCTAAATTTCAAAGTAGGGACTCAGGGGAGCTGAAGCTTTCATTACTTCATCAACTGAAATGAAAGAGGGACAGGTACACTTCATCTTTAAAAACAGAGTTAAGCAATTGTGTTTTGTTGGGAAAATGTACTTTGAGCTGTCACATGACTCACCGGTTGAAGGTAATTAACAACTCTCCAAAATTACATGTAGGCTTATCTGTTACCAGTTGTCCCAGCTGAGTTTTTTGTACTATTGACGTGAAAAGGATTAAAGTTAGGCCTACATGTATCAACTTATGAAACACAATTTGCGCACTGTTTCAGTCAACACTTCTGATGCCGAACCAAAGAGCAGGGTTGTTGACTTACATGTAAGTCATACAAATGTACATGTACAGTGTATGAATGGGACACGGGTCAGACTAGAGTCACCATTTTTGTGACTTGACTTGCAACTACCCTGTTCCAGCTTTGACTGATGATGTGACTTGGGATTTTCAAAAAGTGACGTGACTAGCACTTACAAACAGTGACCTGCAACCATGTCTTCCCGAAGTAGTATTGGAGTACACATGGAAATGGAGCGGTAGAGTGAAGTACTAATCAAGTGAGTCAAGTAAAGTTCAGTAGTTCATAACTCATAACTCAAGTTGATACCTTGCCCTGTTTGCTTATTGCAGTTGGACAAAATAATGCGTGACTTTACTTGTACAGATAGAAAAAGATTTGTGACTTGCCATTTGTTCGGAGGAAATGACCTGTAACTTGAATTTACCTGCAGTTGAAGGACTAGTGACTGGACCAAATTACTGGGGCTTGAACAAATGACTTGTGACTTGACATATATTTGCAAAAATGACTTGCTGCCTTGTCTGACAAAGAGGTTCTTGTCGAAATCAAGTACATATTTTTGCATTACACTCACAGGTAAATCCATTCATTGCAGCCCAGAGACCCCTGTGGATGCAAGGGGAAGCGGAAGTCAGCATCTACCGCATTCCCTTGCTCAGTTACACCCCCGGAGGGCACCTTTTAGCCGTCGCTGAAGCCAGGAAGTACTCGGGGGGTGATGCTGGCCCAAAGTTCATGGTGATCCGGCGATCAGTGGACGAGTTGGGTAGGGTTTGCAATTCCCTTACACACTAAGATATGTGTTATTGTTCTACCTGAGTGTATATTGCTCACACTTTAAACAACTGGTTGAAAGAAAGGTTGGAGGAGGGAGGGGTACTTCCTTCAAGAATCTCTTCAAAAAATCTACAGGTTCAATGGGGTGGCCGGTAGTTGTTACATCCAGGTACTTTTCAAAGAATTTGTTTTGATTTTAAAAGTCTGAACCAATATTTAGCAAAAACAAAAGAAATCCTACATATGCCAACAGAAAAACGAAAAAATGATTGACAAAATTTAAGAAACAAAGAAATGGATTACTTCATGCCCTGTTTGTGCAAGGCACATATCTGAAGGGGGCCCGGGAAATGAGGATCCATTGCTGTCTGTGTTGATTTTTTACCACATTTCAGTTGCTGTGGCAGTGTTTCAGATTGCAAACCAGCGGTTGCAATATGTTTTGTGAACACTTAATGCCCAAAAGAAGTTTTTCCTTACTGAGCAGGACTCCGATGACACAAAGAGGCAATCACTTAAGATTGCAGCTAAGTTTTGTCAAATAATTGCCACGTGGCAGAAGCTGGAACTGACTGCTAAAACCTTGCTTCAGTGGAAAAAGGCGCATGTATGAACAAGACTTCTTGATCTTCGATATGCCCAGCACCACACTGTCTAATGCATCAGCTCCTCAAGGAACAGTATGTTATTTAGTATCATTCACATTTGCATTGTCCGTAAATCTCATGACGCCATAGGAGATGAATGGGAGGCAATGCAAGTCATTGTTGATGATGGCTACCTCATCTTCGATGGCCTCAACCTTGGCAATGTCATCGTGGATGATGAGAAAGGCATCATCTTCATCATGTACACCGTCTGCAATCACCACGACCGGTGTGATGTCACCAGCACCAAACTCTTGAAGAGCGTTGACGATGGGCTGACGTGGTCGAAGCCTGTGAATATTTCAGAGCAGATTGGAACTCAGGCTTTTTCACCAGGCCCAGGATTTGGCATACAGGTAACCTGCAGTTGTCAATAGTTTTGTTTTTATGCTCTGAATATTAAACTGAACTCTACCGGGATTTTGACCATTCGCGTTGGTTGGGAACCCATTACATGCACGTGTAACATCCCATTGACATAGCCAAGAGTGTGTTACACAAAACATGAAGTACATGTATTAAAAACAGTAGAACATAATTGTTCAAAACACCTGTCAAGTTGAGAAGAAATTCCCTAAGTCATGGTACTATTTAACATGATTGTAGTTGGGGTGTTCTAAGCACAGGAATCACTACGTTGTTCGAGGAATAACATGTAGCCTTAGTCTAAAAGTTTTTTAGGGAATGCGTTGTAACCACTCTTGTCAAAAACTTTTGACGCAGAAAAAATTTGCTCCCTACAAAGGACGGCTTGTGTCTTGCGGTCATGGCAATTTCAACGTGGATGGTGTGTACTGCCTGCTGAGCGATGATCATGGGATGACGTGGCGATGGGGAGGATCCATCAAAGGAATACCATACGGGCAGAAGAAGGTGGAAGGAGACTTTGTGCCTGACGAGTGCCAGGTGAGTACGGCCACAGGCTGAGGAGGGGTGAGCTGAGAAAGTAAGACTACAGACCGCTTTTTACAGACTACTTTTTTCAAATGCTCTGACACATTCTTGCCAATTAACAATATTGGGCATTGTGATTGTGTCTGGAAAATTCTCTAACAATGACTCCTTTTTTCCTTGTTAAATGAATCCTCATACCACAAGTCCTGGAAGAGCAACTTGCCCCTTCCCCCACTGATCATGATTCGTTTTAGTGTTTTTAATGTAGAGACAACAAAGAAGGAATCCTCCATTGGCTTGTGGGGGGAGGACTGGAGACATGTTGCAATTTTCTTTTAGGAATTGAACAAACCATTTTAGAAATAGTAATACATGTACTGTAGCACCTGATTGAGGAGGGCGTTAAGATCAGGTGAAAAGTTTAGAGTTGTTTTGGGAGGAGATTTTAAGTTTGCCCTTCCCCCAAAACATAGGTTGATGTTCTGGTTAATAAATCAGAAAGGATATGAAATCCCGAGAGCACGAGTGGGATTTCATCCAGGGTCACCGGTGGCAGGCAAAAAGAGATACCACTGTGACAAACCGACTTCCAGTTTGTTTTAAGTCTTTGACCCCGATTTTACTGACCGTCTGCTGTGTGCTTTTGCATCTAGGCTGTTGAACTGTCCAACGGCTCAATAATGCTCAATGCGCGCAATCAGTACCACTTCAAATGCCACTGTCGTGTAGTGGCGTGGAGCTACGACGGTGGGGAGACCTTGCCAATCCAAGATGTGTACGAGGATAACACCTTGATAGAACCGGCGTGTGCTGCTGGGTTGCTGCTCCATCGAAATGTGCTGTTTTTCTCCAATCCCAAGAGCACTGTCGCTAGTAAGTAGGATGCTACTTGAGGGTCCTTAGAGGCCCATGCGCATTAACTGTGAAGAGGACACTGCTTTTCCTAATGTTAGAAAGCATACTTACAAGGATAAAGTTTCTTTGCCAATGACACTTTGACAAAGATAAGACCTGCCTTTAAAATCTGCATGCAATTTTGTTTCCCTTCCATTGATGTGAGAAATCTGTCAAATGCAGTTGGCTCATAAGTAAGCCCGCATGTGGTGTAATCATAGAAGCATTATGTCACTGCAGGGGTTGACCTTACGCTGCGATGGAGTTACGACAACGGGACAACGTGGGACGGCGAGCTTCAGATCTGGGATAAGGCCAGCGGTTACAGCACCATGACGGCTCATCCGGGACCTTCACAGTATGTCTTCATTCTTTTTGAGAAGGGCATCACATCAACCACCGAATCCATTGAGTTCGTACGTGTGAGCTTATATGATGAAGTATAGTCACAATTTCAGTTAGAGTGTGATATCTTGTAAAAAGTCAGAATCAGTGACCGCTGGTTCAGGGGACCGTAAAAGTTGAATATTTTGTATATTTGTCATAAAGTTATGCAGTCTTATATGGTATTATGCATAATAATGCATTTATATGTCTACATTGAAGTTGTGCTTGATGGCTGACTTCAGTTGCAAATGTTCTTATGTGATTCTGCCTTGATCATTTGGTACATGTCTTTGTATGTAACACCTCACCTGCAGACTCTGTATCTTGATTGGCCGAGAGCCAGTCATGTGGCATTGGCTATTTTAGCTACATGTACATGTATCTTCTTGTGCACAGCCAAAAGAAGTATACCCATAGCAGCCAAAGAAGTACATGCATGACTACAAGTTGTGTGCAAAAGCGTACTTGTGTTATTTGCATGCAGTTTTGAAGAGCTTGCCCTTCAGAGCAGAGTTCAAACATTTTGTGAAGAGGTAGGTTGGAAAAGTGCAGGAAAGTTTCAACCAATTTCTTATTCAAACAAATGTATTTTTGTACGTATTTAAGTCAGTTATTGCTTGAATCAAGTAGAATCTGTGGGAGAGATGTTATGAAACAAATATCAAGTGGTTTATATCGTGGTATAATAAAACTAGCCTCCCTCATTGATCTATGGAACATTCAGAATTCTCCGTTAGTTTTACTGCACCACACAAAGCATTCGGTATTTTTGTAATATTGCTTGAAACAGATAGAAATAGATCTATTTACAGCAGACTTACTTTCTTTTTTGCACAGTGGTATCTATTTCTGCTTATTTTGCTAAACCTTGTACTTCATAACCAATTGCTATTTGCTAGGAGCTTGTTATTTTTTGGTTCAAGTAATTTTTGGATAATCGGGTGTAAATCTAGAAACGCGTTTCAAAAGCCTTTTGTTGGAAACTTTATAACAGCAAGTGATATTCAGTGAAACCAGGTGCCCCTCTTGAATTTTGTGTACAAATGCAAAGGAATGCATGGGACTACACTGTGCTGCCCTGTGATGAAGTTTTTAAGATGTTGTATTCAGAACCATCACAAGGGCATTGAGTAGAGAGTAATTTAAGTGTACCCCTAGCATGCTATATTTGCTACCATGGAGGTAGGAAAAGACTCCACGTTGCTAACAACACTCGCAAATCATTTCTCATATTGAAATTGGACTCTTTGCAAACAAGCCCGCTGACTGTATCTGGGTATGGATGCATCAGCATAAGAAAACAGATTTTGCAGCAATCTCAATCTGTGCAGCGCAGCTTTCTCGCACAAAGAACACGTGTTTTACACTCGTCAGAACGATCACTCGTTCCTCTTGCCGCTCGACGTCATCTGAACCGCTATGCAGGTAATAAAATTACGAGACCGCAGGTAGTACGGTCAAAGGGTACATTTATGAATTCAAATCATTGTCTGATTGACTGCACGTCTCCAGGTCAGAGACAGAGCTGTTTCTGGAGAGAGTTGAGACATGAGTGTCTGAACTGTTGGAACCAAAATGGTGGATGTGCATCAGTGCACAGGGACAATTATCACACTATAGCTGCATGCTGTGCCCCACGCATTATGAACAGCTCTTTCATGTCTTTTGGTTCTAAAGTCTGAAGCTGGCACCCCTCTCTCCGTGAACACCTCTGTCCGGAGATGAACAATGACGCCCTCTGCAGGTTTGACAAATCACTGAAAGGAGTGAAATAAATTCCATTATTTTATGGGGCTGGGGGCTCTTTTTCTGGTAAGTGGTTCCAACGGATCCACCATACTGGACAACAAACTAGCTCTATTGTTTTTGTTTTCATTATTCGGCTCCGAAGATAAAATCAAAAGGCCACAGCCGCCAGTGACTCTGACTTTAAAACCTATGTGTCAAGAATCAAACAACAGACTGAACGTTTTGGTGTTGACATCGGTCGACTTTTTATTCGTTATACAATGTGTTTCCAATATCAACATTACCCGAAATTTGCATCTTTTCCCATCAGACCAAAGTTTCTTAAAATTTTCTCCAACAACTTATATATGCACATATCTTTGAATCCAAACTTTACATTTCGAAATGCTCCATCCAGCCCATGTTGAACATGAAGAAAATGACTTGAGTGGGAGCCCAGCAAAGTACAAATGTCACAAATACAATGACCAGCATCTCGAAAACACCACGCCTCACCCAGAGAACTTGCTGGTGATGAGATCGAGTGCTGCTGCTGTTGTCCGAGTCAAGGGTGCTGACCAAGTGCGGTTGCTGCATTCTGGTGCTGGTCATCGTCATCTGCTTTCAGTGGCTTGCAGTTGGCTTGACGCTTCAAGGTCACTCCCATGTGTATGTAGCAGAAAAACATGATCGTCATCGGAATGAAAAACTGCAGGCAAATGATGAGCGGGCCCATGACTTTTGAGGCTTCGAGGTGCCGGTAGATGCACTTCCCGTCCACTATGGTGAGAAGGAGGAACGAGTAGGACTTAATTGCCGTGCCAATTAGCCACACAACCACAATCGTTGCCGCAAGACACGAGAACGCATCAGCCGGAGGCGAAGAGGGTAGACGATGCTGAAATACCTCCCCAAGGTCAGGGCAAGTAGGTTATACGTGGAGGTTACGAAGAGCAGAAAAAGGACAGCATCACCGATCCACATCTTGCACAGCAGCTCGCCTCCTTGATTCTCCGGGAGCGGGAATGACACAAGGATGTTTCTCTTGAGCAGCAAGACCAATGAGCCCAAAAAGTCGATGACGGCCTGGTGACAGATGAGTGCTATGGAGGCCTTGTGCATGGAGGAGACTCGCCAGATAACGATGATGACGAGGCCATTGCCCATTATGCCTGTAACACCTATAATGGTCTCACAGATGCGGTATATCAGCAAATTATCTGCCATGATGAGAAGTGCAGATTTTGTGTCGTGGATTCCTTTAGGACGTTTGGAAGAAGCGCCTGGTATCTTGTTCAATTACTTTAAGCGAACAGCATTGCTGCCTTGAATTGGATACAACGGAATCAAGGCCCTATTCCGCTGGGACAATCTGGTCCGTTTCGCTGTAGAAATTCATTCTAAATCACCAATAAGGCATTAGCCAATCAGTTCCCCGCAATTGACGTAGACGTACGTTTTGTTACTTTGACAGTGTAGTAAAGATATGCAAACTTTAGCAATTTTATGAAGGCCATTTCAATTTTCAGACTGCCGGTTTCTTCGCTTGAATGACGCAGAGGGCAAACGATTTGCTGGTACACCCGAGCCAATTCTTTAAGCATAAAATGTAGTTCCAGTTGTTTAGCTTTGTCTTCGATACTGACTTCAAGTGTGGGGTCCGTTTTTAGAACGACAGGTGTGATACAAATATAAGATGAACAACATTTTCCACTCTCCTTACACGAGACTGGGAAATATTTTCGTAAATATTTAGGTAAAATTACATGTACTTCGAGTCCTGTTTACAATGGAATTACGATACCAGTTAAGCAGGCAGTGTCCTTTGACTAACGTCTAGCATTCCAATTTTTACCGCGAACCCTATAAGAAAATTGAAGGAATCTGATCAGGAGATTCCGTGATAAAAAGGTCCGTCACACTTTGTAAAATAATGAAGAGTAAAAGTTGGTGTTATTTGCGTGAAATGCATTCTGTGTTCTTTCCTGTATTTGGCATGCACAACGCCAAAGTTTCTTCGACCGCAAACGTTTTGACTACCTCAGAAATAAGCACAGTAGGCCTATAAGAGAATCCAAAATACTAATGTAACGTCCCATATGACTGCATAAAAACATTGCCATTGTTTTTGTTATTGGCGTCCTTTGGCGTTAAACTATTTTAAGACGGTATTGCACTTGGGCTGATTTCTACCTGGGTGACACGATTGTCATCTTGTCATCGTTCGTTTTGTTCTCCTTCCCCGCCTGCTGACTCAACAGGCCGATCTGCTACATTGACAGTTAAGCTAAAATGCTGAACATGCTGAACGTGTGTATACACTACTCCACTGCGGCCACGTGACTTACACTACTCAAAAGAGTTAAGGACCGTTCCTTTTTAACTTGTAATTTTTTTCCAAACAGTGAGTGGGGTCTAGTGTTTTCATTTTTTTTGTCGAGGTGGTTTTTTTATTGGAAACAGAAATAATAATGTTTCAAAACATCAAATGCACATTTTCAGCAGTGAAATAGCTCATATAAAAAGTATACACAAAATATAAAGTGGCCCTTAACTTTTTTGGTATAGTGTATGTTACCATAGCATGTTCTCACCGTTGTGTACTCAGTATAGCCTAATGGTAAGGATATGTCGACTAATGACCCTAAAAACAGTTTAATATGATCAGAACCCTTCCGTCATGAACGGACAAACAAACAACCAAAACAAGCAGATTTAACTTCAAAAGAAAGGAAACGTTTAATTTAGAATGGTACATAAGCAAATTGAAATTGTATACAATATGTACAAAGAAATAATTTAAGTGTAGGAATGGTGAAACTTCCAACTTAAAAAAATCACTTGAACTTCATTAACTCAAACTCGAGAAAACAAGCCAAACCCAGTACAATCCAAAATAAGTTAATTCCAACATTTTTTTAGTTTCAGTAGCAGTTTCAGGGAATGTTAAAGGCTTTGCAAAACTCAAATATCCAAGCTTAAAATGAACTCAAATTAATCAAACAACTGAATTGATAATGGCAGCCTCAAAATAAAATAGCAAACCGAATCCAGCAAACGACAGATTTGCAATTAAATCTCACAGTGAATTAGAAAGCATTAATAATTAATGATAGCTTCGTCAGTAACAAACTATAAAAAAGCTAATTCAAACAACACTTAGGTCCGATAACGGTCGGGTACAGGATGACCAAGGCGGGCTGGCGGGTGACATCCTTTCCCTGTGGCTTTTTCCCTAAAACGTTTTTCTACCAACTCTTATAAAGAGGATCTTGCCTAAAAAAGCAAGATGTGATGATTATCAAGATGTATTTTTTTTTGCCGACCCCGGCAAGCTCGGTGGTCGAGTGGTTAAGACATCTGCACCAGTAAGCAGGAAGTCGTAGGTTCGAGTCCCACCCGAGTAGGCTTGTGAGGTTTTTTTTCGCAAGCTCTCGGACAAGAACTGAGCATTCAGTGCTTATAAATATACGTTGGGTAAGGGCAAACCCGTTGTATATAAGATGTGATGACCTGTACAAAAACAGCGCTGCAAATGTACATGTGCGATACGTTTATGCCCAAACAGCAACGCAGCGACCTTTACGAAATCCACGATATACGCCATTCATATACCAGAACGAGCGATACCGTACAGCAGCCAATGCGCTACGTACATGTACATGTACATCTATAAGCAAGTACAGAATGCAGTATAAAATGTACACACTGCACGAAGTCTGTTTTGACGTTGATAGCGGACATGTCACCGCAGCGGCATTCATTCGAAATAGACTTGTTATTGTCAAATTGGGTATTTTTTTCTGGCTACCAATATGGTTAAAGACATACATATGTATATCCTACTTAATGTGACATCAAAGAATTCTACCATTGTTCTTATGAAATAAATTTTTGTGTGAAAACCGTAAACACAGACAATGGAAAAAGGCACACAACCCCTAAGGCGCTGTCCTACAGACTTGTTAGTACACAGTAGATTGAGACTGAGATAAATCTATTAGTGCAGCGGTCGTGACGACACAACCAAAGATCGTACAATCATCGGCCGATGTCAGCGAGCGGTCGTCACGGTGAGGCAGTCCTGGGAGTAGTACCCGTTTTGGAGCAGCAGTCTACCGCTAGGCTAGGCGCAGCAACAGCACAACGCGCACTAGGGCAGGGGATAGGGTTGGATACAGGGGGCCCCACAAGCATACTAGACTATCACGTCTATCAAGGTTGACTCTGCTTTATTCACTTACAACACCTCACCAGGCGCTGCAATAATGTGACCTCCAAAGGCGCTTGATCCACCTTTACAGGTCGTGACTCCTACACAGGCCAGGGTATTACCTCTGTCAGGGAGGTAACCAGTGCCGGGGCGGGGGGACCTGGGGGGCCTTGGAGGGCACCTGCCCCCCACCAAATTCTCGGTGCCCCCAGGTGCACCCCCACTAAAAAAAATGAATGGATATTGAACAAGGCTAACAAAAGCTTTGTCCCCAAAAAACCACACCACTGAAAGCTGACGCCCCTCCATAAGTTACCGGTGACCCTTGTGCCCACCCCGACTAGTAAAATCCTAGTTAAACCACTGGTGTAAACTAATAAGTCCATTTTTTTTTACATCCACCAAATACTCTGCTGTAATGCTAACGCCCCTTGGATGGAGTTCTCACTTAAACTTAAGCTTAACTACTAATTTGAGGCCTATGACTCTCCGGTAAGTGGCTTTACTTATGCGGTATATCGTAGCCAACACCACAACGGACTCTCAGTAACTAGTTGACTGTATGAAACTCAAGGAACAGACTGGCTGAGGAACAGAGCTGACTTAGGAACTAAATAGCTGGGCCCGCGCTCGTGCTTATTCGCCAGCATAGACGTGACGTCACTCCGAGGTCCCCGGCTCGTTGCCCTAGCGACTGGCTCACATTTTTTCACACAGAGCCATCATGGCTGTCTCAATGTACGGTACCATGATGCGATTTTTGTCGCTGCATGATTCAACGGCCGCTGTGATTCGCCAGTTCACGTTGTTACATTATCTTGACCAATCACACTCCCACTACCACATCCATTCGGAAAGCTCTCACTGCGTTCATGCTCACCGAAACCCATCTTCGGAATTCTGTCCAATGTGAAGCCGGGAAGCGAAAGAACTTGCAATGATGGCTCTCACTTGTGTGATTACATCATGTTGCATAGCAGCCGCCCATGTTTCCCTTCAAAATATGAGTTTGAATGGTTGAATTTTTACGTTAAATATTGAGTGTTTCGTGACACACGTTAAGTACAGGAAGGATCAGGTTGGCGTTCTCTTGCTACATAGGCGGGCACTAGTCTTCGAAAACAATGGAATCACGTCCTAACCCGACCCCTGGCTTATGACCTCTTCTCACAGCTGCACGGCGGGCGCCAAAAGTGGTCTTCGAATTCGTGGTCGGAAAATTCTCTTATTTTCGTCGCTAACAGTTTTTGTCCAAGAGCAGATCAAAACACAGGTGATGTCGACAATGTTAAAGATTCTGATTCACCTGATAAACCAGCAGATTTTTAAAATGATAAAATATTCGGGGTATACGCTCAGGACACACATGACACACATGTACATGACGCTAAAGATCGGACCCATTCGCGCCTCCGATCTTTGGGTCGCGATGATTTAGAGATGGACCGCACTTCACGCCTTCGTTCCTTGAGTCGTGAAAGTGGCAATTAGGACAGGCATTATCTCCAAGCATGCCAAGATCGTACTCAACAGGAGAGAGATGCCTTCTCTGATTGTGAAGGAGTACACTGACCTCATTCAGGTTTTTACCAAAGCCATCGTGGTTTTTTTCATGCAGGTTACCTTCAGTCAGTAGGCCCCACTATACCCAGGCCGTCAGTGAATTTTTTTTAGAGCGCCAAATGACAATATTGTCAGATATGCAGAAACAAAAAAAATGATATGTTTTAAGGGTTCGCTGCAAGACACCCTTACAGATATAAGTCGGGAGTACCGTTCTAGGTTCCGTTCAGTGCCTGAACCTGGCAGACAAAGAATGGGGTAGAGTAAATATTCCCCATCCTCAAGTGATAGCTCAGAAGAAAGTATGGCTAGAGCAAGGGTTCGCTTTGAAGATTGTTCGTCAGTTCAGGCCTCTCCTCGTTATCATCACTGTCAAAATGATAGTTTGTCATTCGTTGCTGCTAATGTCAATAATGATAATGACATAGGCTCGGGGTCAGATGTTGATAACCCTGACAAGTAAAAAGACAAAACACTTTCCAAACTAGTTAATCCTCATGAGGAGGTTAGAGGCATGTTCTTTGATCAGGACATGCTTGACTTGTGGAAACATCAACATACCCATGCGCTGGAACAGAGCAAATAAGATGAATTGTAAACAGGGCTTAAACCAAATCCTTCGATTTCAACCTATTTCAAGGCCCCAGATACGGTATGCCCAAACCTATTCGTACATCCATGAAAAAAATCTAAGTTCAAGACATGGAAGAGTAATAATTCCATCTGGTCCATTCAAGAAGACTTGCTCAGAGCTGCAATGCCACTGATTAAAGCAGTTGAGACGTTCCAAAAATTGACATCAAACAACTGCTGGCGTCGTCAGGGAGTCTCTTAGGCTCGGCAGTACAGTGGGTGTCTGTTTTCTCCAGCGCTATTCTGAACCTTTCATCAAGGGAGGATACCAGCGGGATTTTACCCCGTCAGTGGGATGCATCTTTGGTGACGAGTGGACACAAAAGGGTGGAGGAGGGAGAAACACCCTGACAAAGTGACGCACAAGGTCTTTAAACAGTCTTGCGCTAGCATCGAACCCAAGTTCAAACCTAGGGATATGGTTATGCCCTTCAAGAAATCTGCAGGAATCAATAGAGACAGATTCTCTTACGTTGTACCGTCCCAAAGCTTACGGCTCAAAAGTTAGAAGCAAACTGTAAAGCA